TAGCTGTGTCAAGTACATGAATATCAACACTGTAGAGGTAATAGGTACTAACTTTGATACCACCTGCTGAGAGAATGGCTAATTGTCACGGCAACAGCGTCAATTGAAGCCGACGGCAGTGCACAAATGCGCTGATAAGCCCGTTGGGCCTCTCGTCTCTTCTCAGCTTCCGCTTCCAGCACAGGCCATCGAACGACGGGCTTTAGGCCGTATCACCGTGAGGGCTTCTTGCCCTCCACTCTGAGCCTGTGAATATTTTTTTTTCCCTTTTTTTTTTTTCCTTTTTTCCCTCCCTTTTTTGCCAATTTTGCATCCAGTTTTTCCCAGTTTCTGATTGACAAGCAGCTCTTACAGGCCTAGCGGCGTCCACTCGCAGCTGTTGGCCCTAGCCCTGATGGAGCAGTTCTGGCCTGAGCAATGACGCCCACTTCTGGATTTTCATCGATGCCCGCTTTGCTGCTGTGCCCACTCGGACACTCCAATCGTGCCATGGCATGTTACCACCTCGTGCCCTTTTGTCTCCCCACCAGAGAGAGGCAAAGAGAGAAAAAATCGACGGTACATAGCAGGAACCTCGTCCTAGGGACCAGTTTTTAATTTATTTTTTCTATTTATCTTTCTATTTGTTTCATTCTTGCACTGATCCTCTTTTTTTTCTTCCTCTTTTTTCTCGCCGAGTGGATTCACAGCTGTCCAGTAAAACGCCCGCTAAGCCCAAGCTGCCCGTGCTAGTCATAGTCATGCCTCACCTAAACCTTGTGAGTCGCAAGCGCCCAATTCTGCTTCCTCGCACCAAATATTTTCCTCTCCCTCCCCCTTCTTAAATCCCAACCCACCCTCTTCCTACCTTTTCCCCGTCAAACCCGACACTTCTTGCAGAGCAGCAGTGATCGATTCGCTGTTTCCCTCTCCATCACTCCCGTGTCTCCCCTTTGCTATTCGCTCCCTCTAGGCACAAGCTTGTGCTTACGCAGCAGTAGCAGCATTTAGTTCGCTTGAGCATAAAGCGCGGGGTCAAATTCTTCAACCCCGCTTTGCTCTTTTCTTCCTTTCTTCCCTCCTACACACCAAAAAAAACCACATTCAATTTTTTTTGTAGGCTCCGAGCCTCAATACCGCCAAGATGGTGAAGTAAGTTCATTCTGCTGCATCTGTCCCATTTAGCTTTGAGCTTCATCGTCGTCCCTCTCCCCTCTTTGCTTCTCGGCATTGGTCTTTGGCTGGTGTGGTGAAGCATCCCTCTCCTGTCCTGTCTGGAGGGGCTCACAACTATGCCGCTGCCAGCGATTTTTTTTTTTTTTTCATTTTTTTTTCACCACATATACACACAAACTGTTACTATCCCGCTGCTATGCCAGCTTCCCCTTCCTTGCTCGGAGTTAAGCACTTGTTAGATCCATGTTGCTGACCGTGGCCTTCACCATGATAGCTTCACAGTCGACGAGATCCGGGCGTTGATGGACAAGCCCACCAATGTCCGAAACATGTCCGTCATTGCCCACGTCGATCACGGCAAGTCTACCCTGACCGACTCCCTGTTGGCCAAGGCTGGTATCATTTCCACCGCAAAGGCTGGTGAAGCTCGAGCAACAGATACTCGTGCCGACGAGCAGGAGCGTGGTATTACCATCAAGTCCACTGCCATCTCCCTGTACGGTCAGCTCGAGGATGAGGAGGACATCAAGGACATTGTTGGCCAGAAGACCGACGGCCGTGATTTCTTGATCAACCTGATCGACTCCCCCGGTCACGTTGACTTCTCATCCGAAGTCACTGCCGCTCTCCGTGTCACTGACGGTGCCCTTGTCGTCGTCGACACCGTCGAGGGTGTCTGCGTCCAGACCGAGACTGTGCTCCGACAGGCTCTTGGTGAGCGCATCAAGCCCGTTGTCATCATCAACAAGGTCGACCGGGCTCTTCTCGAGCTTCAGATCTCCAAGGAGGACCTGTACCAGTCCTTCTCTCGTACCATCGAGTCCGTCAACGTCATCATCTCCACTTACCTCGACAAGACCCTCGGTGACCTCCAGGTCTACCCCTACAAGGGAACCATTGCCTTCGGTTCCGGTCTGCACGGCTGGGCCTTCACCGTCCGCCAGTTCGCCGTCCGTTACGCCAAGAAGTTTGGTGTTGACAAGAACAAGATGATGGAGCGTCTCTGGGGTGACAACTACTTCAACCCCCACACCAAGAAGTGGACCAAGTCCGGCACCTATGAGGGTAAGCAGCTCGAGCGTGCCTTCAACCAGTTCATCCTCGACCCCATCTTCAAGATCTTCGCTGCCGTCATGAACTTCAAGAAGGACGAGATCGCCACCCTGCTCGACAAGCTCCAGCTCAACCTGAGCCCCGAGGACAAGCAGAAGGAGGGCAAGCAGCTGCTCAAGGCCGTCATGCGCACTTTCCTGCCCGCTGCTGACTCTCTGCTGGAGATGATGATCCTCCACCTCCCCTCCCCCGTCACTGCCCAGCGCTACCGTGTCGAGACCCTCTACGAGGGTCCCATGGACGACGAGGCTGCTATTGGTATCCGTGACTGCGACCCCAAGGGCCCTCTCATGCTCTACGTCTCCAAGATGGTTCCTACCTCCGACAAGGGCCGATTCTACGCCTTCGGTCGTGTCTTCTCCGGTGTTGTCCGCTCCGGTCTCAAGGTCCGCATCCAGGGCCCCAACTACCTGCCTGGCAAGAAGGATGATCTCTTCGTCAAGGCCATCCAGCGTACCGTTCTCATGATGGGCGGCAAGGTCGAGCCCATTGACGACATGCCTGCCGGTAACATTGTCGGTCTGGTCGGTATCGATCAGTTCCTGCTCAAGTCTGGTACCCTGACCACCAGCGAGACTGCCCACAACCTCAAGGTCATGAAGTTCTCCGTCTCCCCCGTCGTCCGACGCTCCGTCCAGGTCAAGAACGCCCAGGATCTGCCCAAGCTGGTCGAGGGTCTCAAGCGTCTGTCCAAGTCCGACCCTTGCGTCCTCATCAGCACCTCCGAGTCCGGTGAGCACGTCGTTGCCGGTGCCGGTGAGCTGCATCTCGAGATTTGCTTGAACGATCTCGAGAACGACCACGCTGGTGTTCCCCTCATCATCTCCGACCCCGTCGTCCAGTACCGTGAGACTGTCCAGGGCAAGTCCAGCATCACTGCTCTGTCCAAGTCCCCCAACAAGCACAACCGTCTCTACATGGTTGCTGAGCCCATGGACGAGGAGCTCGCCAACGCCATCGAGGCCGGCAAGGTCGCCCCCCGTGACGATTTCAAGGCTCGTGCCCGTGTCCTGGCTGACGACTTCGGCTGGGATGTCACCGATGCCCGAAAGATCTGGACCTTCGGTCCCGATGGCACTGGTGCCAACTTGCTGGTTGACCAGACCAAGGCCGTCCAGTACCTCAACGAAATCAAGGACTCCGTCGTCTCCGGTTTCCAGTGGGCTTCCCGTGAGGGTCCCATTGCTGAGGAGCCCATGCGTGCTATCCGCTTCAACATCCTTGATGTTACCCTGCACGCTGATGCTATCCACCGTGGTGGTGGTCAGATCATCCCCACTGCTCGTCGTGTCCTGTATGCCTCTGCTCTGCTGGCTGAGCCTGCTCTGCAGGAGCCCATCTTCTTGGTCGAGATTCAGGTCCCCGAGACTGCCATGGGTGGTGTCTATGGTGTCCTGACCCGCAGACGTGGTCACGTCTTCAACGAGGAGCAGCGTCCTGGTACTCCTCTCTTCAACATCAAGGCCTACCTGCCCGTCCTGGAGTCCTTCGGCTTCAACGCTGATCTGCGTCAAGCCACCTCCGGCCAGGCCTTCCCCCAGTCCGTCTTCTCCCACTACCAGGTCCTGCCCGGTGGCTCTCCTCTCGATGCCACCTCCAAGGTTGGTACCATTGTTACCGATATGCGTAAGCGCAAGGGTATCAAGGTTGAGGTTCCCGGCGTTGAGAACGTAAGTTATTATCCAAACTCGTCTGTCTCATACTCCGATGCTAACATATCTTCTAGTACTATGATAAGCTGTAAACGGCTCCCTGATTTGCCGATAGAATTACGATTCGTGTCGAAATGGGCACAACACGTCAGCCAACTGGTAGCAAAAATTAAGGGCCACTACTCGTATCCCAGAGGGCTCGCCGCCCTGCTGATCTGAATAGTAGATGGACGGTTACGGTTGTTTGATGAAAGAAGAAAAAAAATACCACCCCGTCGAAAAAAAAAGGGAATACTCGTTGAGGCTATAATTAAGGGACGCCTCACTTGGCGGCTTTCATGCATGTAGTTATGCCGATGGAGTCGGATGAATGAAATTTATGAGAACTTTCAAAAAGTAATTGCACGTGCCCATGATGTGATTAATGCGTAGACTTGAGCTGTTACTTTTCTGTGGCCAACTTGATTTTCTCTCTTTCTTTTTCTTTCCTTTTTTTGGAGGAGACAATCCATATATCATCATACCTAGGTTAACCATGCTTTGTCCAGGAGAGCTTCATGAGCTTCAGCAGCATTGTGCGGCGGATATAGTCGGCTCTGAACAGACTCGATAAGCGCCCAAGTAGAAATACAGTTTGATTTTGTTAAAACATCTTCATCCGCAATAAACTTAAAACAACATTACGGGTGTCAAACTTGAAGAGCTCATGAATTTTATCAGAAGCTTAACTGGGTACCTTGAGGTAACTTTTTTTGAGCTGAACTGCCGAGTCAAATCATAAATGCCAAGTCTCCACTTTAAAAGCCACTGAGCACCTTCCCTCGGCCATCGTCAGGCGCAGCCTCGCCTTGCAACTGTGCCAAATCAGAATCCATCCTTCCAACCTCTTTTTTCCTTCGCCATCAGACGTGAGAAGAAACGAAAAAGAAGAGCCCTTGGCTCGATTGTCCTTCTTTTCCCTTACACACAACGCCGGGTTTATCCCAATTACGATTTTATATCTCCTCCATGATTCATTGATCATTTATTTTTCTTGTTCTTCTTCTCCTTGGTTTCCCTTTCCCACTCCATACCCGAACGATGCTGTTCCCGGAGGAAGATGCGCCGCTGTTGAAGACGTGGATTGTCAAGCGCATCGAAAACACGTTTGTCTGCCCGCAGCCGGGGGATGCGCGACGCTCCCTCTTGGCAGCCGTCTTGCTGTTGCAACGCTGACTTTCTCCTTTCTTCCTTGCATAGGTCCGATGCAGATTCTGATGTGCTTGCCGACTATGTCATTGCTTTGCTGAAACACGATGGCGATGCCCAGTCGGTGCGGCAGCTTTGCGAAGCTGAGATTCCCGACTTTTTGACCGAAGGTTCGTTTGAGACGCGCTGGCGGTGGAGATTGGTTGCAGATGGGGGGACATGGCATGCTGACTCGTTTATCCTCTTGGTTTTCATGCGCTTTAGATTCAAAGGCTTTCCTCGACGATGTTTTCCAAGCGATCGCGTACAAGTCATATCGACCAGGTGCTCCGCCGCCTCCAAAACCTGCCACCGGTGCCATTGGCGCTGGAGCTCCTCCCCTTCCTGCGTTTTCGGGCGTACAGAGCACTGCGCCGCATCAAGGTGCCTCAAGGAAACGAGGGTTGGCAGATGATATGGAATACGAGGGACAGGCGACGTATGGCAGGGGACACAAACAGCCCCGGCGAGGCTCGAACCATGGGAGGATGGACGACCCGACAATGGGTGGTTACGTGTCTGTGGATTCCATGCCGGGCATGAAGCACTTTGATCCCAAGAGTGCACTTGAGACAATCATGCAGATGCAGGCTATGGGACTTCCGTACCCTGGCATGGCCGAATTCATGGCTCAGATGCCTCCTGTTGGCGGTGGAAGGAACTCGCAGCGGCGGAGAGGGCGTTGCCGAGACTTTGATACCAAGGGATACTGTTCTCGTGGAAATCAGTGCATGTATGATCACGGCAACACTTCCGTCTATGTTCCCCCCATGTTTTCTGGAATTGAAGGTACGCATCGCGAGATTATACTAACTGAGCATCGAGACCTATCAGATATGCAGACTAACATGAGCTTTCCTTTTCAGAATACGATCCCAGCAATGCTGTACTTGGCATGTCAGGTCATGCCGCAAACCCTTACTCGTTCCCTATGGATATGATGGGCCGTGGTCGAGGTCGTGGCAGTCGTGGTGGCCGCGGAGGCCGCGGAGGGAAGAAAGGGGGTGCGCGAGCCCCCTTTTCGGCAGAAGGTCCTCTTAACGATCGTACTAAGAGTACTATCGTCGTGGAAAACATCCCCGAGGATCATTTCGATGAAAACGAGGTGCGGGCGTTCTTTTCACAATTTGGCGAAGTGGTTGAGGTCTCGATGCAGCCGTACAAGCACCTGGCCATTGTGAAATATGAAAAGTGGGCGTCAGCCAATGCTGCATACCGGTCGCCAAAAGTCATTTTTGACAACCGATTTGTCAAGGTATTTTGGTACAAGGAAGAGGGCGTCAAAGCACCATTCTCGGCAGCAGGGAATGGAGATGGTGTGCTCTCTAAAATTGATGGCGACGGATCTGCTGCACCAGCAGAAGCTGAGGCTGAGATTGATATGGAAGAATTTCAACGGAAGCAAGAAGAAGCGCAAAAGCAGTACCAGGAGAGAGAAGCAAAGAGAACAGATCTAGAGCGACAGCGACAAGAGTTGGAAAAGCAACAGCAGGAGCTACTAGCAAGACACAGGGAAGAAAGCGAGAGACTGAAAGCGAGGCTGGCAGAGAAGAGTGGCGCGACCGCAGATGCCAAAGCCACGGGGTCTTCATCATCGACGGATATGCTACGTGCTCAGCTGGCGGCATTAGAGCAGGAAGCCAAGATTCTCGGCATCGACCCGGATGCCGCAGAAGATGGAAGCGGCTACAGCTCACGAGGCCGCGGATATAGAGGGCGTGGTGGACGAGGTAGCGATCGAGGTTTTGCACCTCGAGGCCGTGGTTCATTCAGAGGTCAGGCGGGAAGACACGCAGCCTACGCGCAGTACTCGCTGGATAATCGGCCGAGGAAGCTAGCCGTCACTGGTGTTGATTTTACTCCCGCAGATAAAGACGAAGCTCTTCGACATTTCCTCTTGGTAAGTGAATTTGATGAACCCCTCCCGATGCAACAAGCTTTTCAGCGACTCATCTGCGGGACATGGTATGAAAACGGCAAGACTAACTGATTATACGTTTAGAACCTGGGAGAATTCGAATCTGTAGAGACCACCGCCTCCGTCACACACGTGTCTTTCCAAGATCGTAAAACAGCCGAGAAATTTTATTACAGCTTGCACGGCAAAGAGCTACCTGGTGTTAGCGGCACGCTCGAACTCTCCTGGATCAACACCCCGTTGCCACCCGTGGGGTCCTCCAAGAAGAACGAGGATGTTGAGGATGGAGATGCCATGGCAGGGTTGAATGATGAGGAGGGGAATGCGGACGAGGGCTTGCCGGAGGAGCATATGCGGGAGCGGCAGGTGGATATGGACTATGAAGTCGGGGTTGAGGAGGGTTGGGTTGAATGATGGGGGTTGGATGGAGTAAGGAAGAAAAGATGAATAATTTGATAAGTTGGCGCGAACCTGATGGATTCAGCGCAAGACAGATATATACACGGAAAACAGATGGATACAAATCATGGATGCAAGGCCATTGGAAAGGATAAACCTTCCAAGCGTAATGAATGAGATGTCATGAATATACAAGAATCATTGCCCACAGACTTGCTTGCAAGGGTTTTGCTCACAGAGACTTATCATATGGTGAAAAGGTATATATATACTCGTAGTGTATATAGTGCATACTTATATAGATGTTCATGCAAGTATGTATGTCCCATCATACCATGCCACTTCACCAACAACTTTGTTTTCAGCGACATCCCCAGTTTTCGACTGCTTCAATCTCCCCTCTCTCTCCACACTCCTCTCATGCCAGTCTCTATCTCTACTCCTCATAACAAACCAACAAAGGAAAAAAAAAAAAAAAACCAAAAAAAAAAAAAAAAAAAAAAAAAAGGTCCGCAGGCGGGGGTATCGTTGAGATATATAATATGCAATTCCAAAGTAGAACCGGGGCTCCATGCCAATTTTCTGTGCCCAATCTTTTTTTTGTCCTTTTCTCTTTTTCCACTTTCTGTTGTGGAAAAAAAAAACCACCAGCAAAATGCCCAAAATGGATCGAAACTCGACCATTTAACCCAGATGTCCCGTTGCGCCCGCCGCCCCGGGTTAAAAGATAAAAATCCCCGTTGTTCATGAATTTTGCTACCGGTGTGGCTTTTTGTTGAAAAAGACACCGGCTTCGCCTCTGTGCAAAAGAAACGCCGCTTTTTTTTTAATCATCCGCGCCGAGATAAGATGAAGCGAGAAATAAAATATGAATAGAATAAAAAGGAAAAGGGGGGGTAATTGAAGCCATAGTTGGGATAAAGGAATCAATACTCAGAAGTGCGGATTGGTTAACCCACAACAAGACTTTCACTCCCTTGGAAAAACCATGTCAAGTCAAACTAAGCCGTGCCAGTGGCAGGGACGGCGAGGTCTTTGACTTCAAGGCCTTCGAGGAACCCGAAAATGGTGCTGTTCTCGCGGAAATCATTGTTCACTAGACATCGTTAGTCTACTAGGAAAAGAAACAAGGCGTTAAGAAACTCACCAATGTTAACGAGATACCAATCATTCATGATTCCCTCGATCAGCGCGCGGCTAGGCGTGTTGGCATCGAAACAACGAGCCCAGTCGACGCCCAATCGGAAAGCCTCATCTCTCCAGGCCAGGAAGCTGACGGACTCAACAATGGTAGGCTGCACAATCTCCTTGCCAGGGAAAACTCCCCAGGTGACAGCGTTGGGGCCGTCTGAAGGCGCATTGGACCTGAGCTCCCCGTTCTTGGTGACAGCATAGTAGGTCAAGTTGGGGAAGTCGTCAAGGCGGCTGATCATCTCCTCCAAGAGGTAAGGGGGCATCAACAGCTCGAGGTAGGCCTTTTGGTAGACGTAGCCGTTTGAAGGTCCCCAGCCGTGAACAGGATGGTTGGACTTGGCGCCGTCCACCGCAGGCTGAGAGTTGATGGTGAGGAGGCCTCGCTTGTTGAGAGCTACGAGGTCGTCCTTGATGGGATCAGCTTCGGCGGAAAGGCCTGACTCACTCCAGGGCAAGGTCTCGAGCTTCTTCTCAAGGTACTGGACAAACGTGTTGGCAATATCCTGGATCGACGCGGGCTCGCCCCATTTCTTGCGGTTCTGCTCGTTGGTGCCAGTCAAGCCAATGCCATAGGCGTCGAGCTCTCCGAAAGCGGGCGAGCGAGAGTCACCCCATCGACCGTTGGGGAACTCGTCCCAGTCCTGAGTACGAATAACATAGGACTTGTTGCGGTTGCGCCAGAAAATGGGGCGCACGTCCTCATCGCGTCGGCCGAAGCCTTTGGACTGCTTCCAGGGGAGGGCTTGCTTGAGAGGGTTTTCGGCCGAAGGAGTCCAGTTAAGCTCGTCAAGGACCATGCGAGTGGCCTGAGCAAGGTTCATGGTGTAAAAGTGAAGATGGTGAATGCCATTGGCAAGGAGCTTCCTGCACAGCTCGGCAACCAAAGTCTTGCCAATCTCGCGCACGGCCACGTCGTCGTTCTTGACCGGCTCGAGCTTGGCCATCCAGTCCGGAGGGACCCTGCACTGCATGTGTTTAGCACGACGGAGGAAACTAGCATACGTGGCAATGGGCATGATTCCGGGCAGGATGGGGATGGTGATGCCGCGTTCGCGGACCTTGCCAACCCATCGGATAAAGTTGTCCGCGTCGTAGAACATCTGGGTGACAATAAAGCCGGCTCCCATGTCCACTTTCTCCTTGAGATGGTCAAGCAGCGATTCCTCATCCTTGTTGTCGTCGCAGCCCTCGGGGTAGCCGGCAACGCCAATGTCGAAGTGGTCGCCATATGTGTCACGGATGTGCTTGACTAGATCGCGAGCATACTGGAAGTTTCCATCCGCAGCAGTCCACGATTCTTGGTCACGGGGAGGGTCGCCACGGAGGGCAAGGATGTTGGTGCATCCAGCCTTGTACGCCTTTTGCAGGGCGTCATTGACCTTTTCAAGTCCCATGTCGGTGCAGGTAAGGTGCATGCAGGTCTCGAGGCCATAGACCGCCTGAGCCTGAACGACCATTTCACAGGTCAGCTCTGCGATGCCACCACCGGCACCCCATGTGATGTCGATGAACTTGGGTCCAAAGTTGTTCATGCGGTCCATACGATCGTAAAGATTCTGAACACCCTGGGCCGTCTTCGGAGGGAAGTACTCGAAGGAGAAGGACGGGGCCTTGGACTTCTCCGTCTCGGCGACTAAACTCTTGATGTGCATGTTGGGCGAGCAGCAAGGAGCAAGACAGTGCTAACAGGATCAGCAGGAAAGGGCAAGAGACGACAAGCAGATTGACGGTGCGAGCGGCGAAGAGTCAATTTAATTGCTCGTGCGCAACAAGTTCCTATTGCCGTCGAAGAGCGAAGAGTCAGCAAGGACAGAGTCCGACAGAGGTTGGCCACGCGGATCAACCCACCACAGACAGGAGACTGCCGAAAGGACGAGAATGAGCGAATTGGAGCGTTTGGTTGCGCCGCTTCGACTGATAAATGCTGCAAAGAAGCGGCAAAGTCGAACCGACAGCGATCGTAACGATTATTCGCAAGCCAGACTAATTTCGTCCAACGCCGCCGACAGTCCGCCGAGTGCGGGTCGCAAATCTGTCGAGGATGGATTCGAGCGATTCACTCGCAGGAGAGAAGAAAGCGGCAAGAGATGAGAGGAGGAAGGGAGAAGAAGAAGGGAGAAATAGAGGAGAGGATCGAGAATAACAAGAGGAAAAGGTGCAAACAAATCAAAGAGAGGGGGGGAGAGTCACAAGTTAAAGTAAAACGGCGATGAAAAGAATATGGCCGAAATTTGTATGCGGAACAATGAATGACAGATGCGACCGACCTGGGGCTGGCGCTCTCCGAATTCTGGAGGGGCTGTGATTGGGCCAGTTGCGGGTCACCGCCCGCCGAGTTGGGAATGGTGAGGTACAGGGTACTTGCAGGGTACTCGCCAGGTGTCCGCTTTTGTCCTTCTGTCCTTGTCTTTGTCCTTGTCCTCTGCAGCCGTACAGTACCTAACAGCAACCGGGGCATGCAGTGAGTGATACCAGCTGCAAGCCATCATATTCTACAGTATGAATTCACGGAAAGAAGTCCACAGAGGTGACACAGAATTTCGAGAAGCATCTATAGATGGCAAGTAGCATTCGCTGATGATGGCCAGGGATGCAAGACGCATGCCCTTTGCGTTGCGCATGTAAGATGTGCCAAGGTAGGAATACATGCACGGAGCCTGCAAAGCGGCGCAAGGATCTGTACCCTGTACGCTCCGGGGCCGCGAAAAAATGGGATACAGCATACAAAAAAGAGCAAATGAATGGATGGATTGTTGAGCGCGCAACTCTTATACGTGGTACAGCTGCTCGTACTCGTATATAAACCGAGTCTTACTGGTCTATATGAACCACTTACCAAGTGTGTATCTTCCTTGCAGTATCTGCAGCTACTTGTGGGACATGGAAAATAGCAAACAGAGTCAATTAACAGAGTCAGTCCCCCGTGGGATTTTTTGCTGACCATCTGCGAGTACGACGCCGCTGTCTTGTTCTTCCACATGGGGAATATCTCCGAGTCTAGCGATGGTGAGCCGATTGATTGATTGATGGATGGATTGATTACAAGATGGCATAACGTACCGGCAAACAAACCCGAACGACAGCAATCGAGGGAAACTGAAACAAGAATCTTTCTCATTCAAAGCAAACAAGCAACTACTACTATAGGTATAGATTAGCCTAATCGACGTTTCCATCTACTAGAGTCAGTCAATCCAGTTGTTTCCATGTGATTCATTTCATTCATCAATTTGTTGAGCACCCCTCCCCCGCTGTCGTAAAAGTCGCATGTGGAGGTTCCCGGTACATCCACTCTACTTTCTCCTCGTCTGACAGCATCTCACCCGCACTTTCGTTCCCATGGCTCCGTATGAATAACACACTGTGCTTTGATACTACCCATTGTCATACTCGTTTGCTTTGTTACAAAGTGCTAGGCCATGATCCTATTTACATTCGAAATCTACAAAGGCCAGATCAATCTACTCAAATTACGACGCCAATGACGAAATCAAGGGTCCAGCTGTCAGATTTAAAGTTGAATCAAGGCAACACCGAGGTAGTTTATCAGAGCTTCCCGCAGGTAATCAAAGTCAAAATGGGAGCATTGCCATAACTTATACAGTTTATGGACATATAAACACTGTGGGCGTCATCTCTTCAACTCATCCTACACTGCATACACAGTAGCCGGCCACCTGCTTGTGCCTCGGTGGATTCTTTGCACTACTATGTGAAACCTAGATAGGTAGCTTATTTTCAAGTTCAAACTTGGGAAATGCTTTGATACCTGTATTGCTGTAGTAGTTTGAAGCAACCAACCAACCCTGCTGGCACTGGCCCGTGTAAGCCCACAGCGGTGTGCGTGTGTGCGTCTAAGTAATCCGCGATGCTACCCCGAATTGCGCCGACAGAATTCACCGAACAGGCTTCGTTGCTGCCAGTACCGAGGACAGTGTACGGAGTAGTGTGGATCTTATTCTTGAGACGAGACTCCACGCGGATTCGCAGTGATATATCTCGACACATATCCCATAGCTGCTATACTTGTACATCCTGAGCGCCTTGTCTGACTTTATGCCTCCTCTCTCATTCCCCTCATGTCTAATGCAAGCACCCGTTTGATTGCCGTCTTATATAGACTGCTAGGATAGCTCACAACGTGCGTTAGCAGGTGATACTAGCTCAGATTAGCTTCGGGCCTCTGCATCTAAACAAGTGGCCGAAGCTGGCTGGTCATCCTCGGTCTCACACAGAGTGAGCTGTCATGTTCCTCGCCAACGATATGTACAGGCCCGGGACTCTCTTCCTCAAAGTCTCATCTCGGCCGTTTCAAAAAGAGAGTCAAGGATAAGCGGTGTGTCGAGTCCGGATTCACCTTGAGGAAATACGCCCCTCTCAAGATGGCGTCCCCTTCAATGCCAGCGGCGGCGCTCCTCTCAGTTGGCGCCAGCGGTTGCTATTCTCAATGACATCTCGGTCAAATATAAACCACCATCGTTCAAACAACACCTGACCCACCTCCCAGCTATTCGGATCATACGGATCACCGCCATAGATACGGATCCCCTCCGAATTATCCTCAAAGTCATACGCAAAGTTGACCAAGGCAAGCGGGCCGGTCGCATTGGGCGGCCGCATCTCATCGGGCATCGAAAATATGTGAATCACTCTATCACGAACTTCCGGCCACGGCAGGAAATCCAGCATCGGGTGATGGGAGACCAGGAGCTGAGAGGCAGTGGGCTTCCATGCCGCGGGGAGTTGCTCGCTTGGTGTGGCGATTCCCTGGGAGAACGGAGACACGGCCTCCAGATTCCAAACCTGTTGGCCACAGCCGATGCGCTCTGATATTCGCAATACAGCCCGCAATAGAGTGAGTTCGTGAACAGGTAAGAGATAGCTGTCGGCAAAGCTTCCATCCGAAGACGATGATGGAGACGTGCTGTCCCAAGCTGGTGGCATCACATCCGTCAAATTTCCATCCAGTCTTTCGCTGTTGCTGAAGATGAACCCTCCCTCCCCAGAGCCTGTGATTGACGCAGATGAGAAATCTGAACTGTTTACTGTACTTGAAAGTAGAAATGGAATCGACGAATCGCTGCCCACGTTGTTGCTGAACATGGTCGTAGTCCATCCTGCCAAACCAAGGTCAATCTCGTTCAGGCTTCCGGCAATGGGGGACTGGCTAGAGGTCGAGATGATTTCAGCGTCAATTTCTCCATCATTATTGCCGTGTGATTCGCTTATAACATTGTTGTCCTCTTTGTTTTCTTCGTCATTTTCTCTGTTCCTCTCTTTTTGTCGTCGCAGACGCTTCTTCTCTCCTACGCTCACGGGTAAGCAAATGACATGGCGCTGACAGTGTTACTTCTAGTATAACACCAGGAGGTCACCGACTGTATCTGCGCTGTGCTAGCACATTAAGGATCCGTTTTCTCTCCGGCGCGTTTTCCTCTATCTCTGGTACTTCGAGAACTGGGGCTGGCTTGACGGTTCTTTGCCTCGAGCGCGGCTTACCGGCGATACTAGCTTGAGATGAGCACTCTTCGTTCGCCATCTCTGGTCTCGCCGGAGACACTTGATGGAATTAGTCGTTGTGGTTGATCAATTGGATTGCCTGTAGAAGAATAGCTGTGTCAATTCACAAATATGCTTTGGTATTTCTAAGCTCGAGATCATCGTTTGGAAGGGCTGGCTATTTATTAACTTGCATCTATTTAACTAGGTAGAACATAACGCTTTACAATCGAATTAGCGCACTGTGGCGTAGCAGCATAACGGATATGGTATACCTGTTTGCGCATATCAACTTGGCGTGGGTGTGAGGTACTTTCCATCTAGCTCCTGGCAATGGCCGTTGGGCTACGAGCCTCAAACAGTGTAGCGTCTTTGAGCTGAGGTGCCCTAAATTCACATGTAAGTGCCATCAAAACACGGCACATCATATGCAAGACAACGGCACCCCATGATAGTTTTGTACATTTACAATCAATTCTTGACAGTTCTGTCCTTTAATGAATGACGATATTTGATATCCAATTTGATATTCATGGCCGCAAACTTGGTGAGCCATATCTGGCTCTGTAAGCCGGGCAAATTCGAGTCCGACCAACCGTGTTCCTCAGTAGCAAGCGAAGTCATTTGGGAGGCAAAGGCCAATAGTGCCCTGGCCATATGAAACTCCTAGGGCTGTAATATAGGCTTCATTTTATAGTCCATTGATACATCAATTTCACTTTTAATCTCCCGTTGAGGCGAAACGATTGTCTTGGTTCGTAACGGGTTAGAGGACTGATCAATGGAATAGCTATTCAGCAACCTAGTGACTGCGTGAGGTTCAAGCGTCGAAACAACATACGAAGGGAGGCCTTGCATTCATTTCTACCCAGTAGGCAATACCTAGATATCCGGCTCTTTGGTAATAGGCTATTATTTAGTTTTTTTTTTGGTATCTGCTATTACTACATACATGTAGCTATATTTCTCTACCTGTATCCGCTACTATGGCCCAACTTCCACAATCTCCGCCACTGTTTGTCTCTTCCTCTAATACCTGCTACCATGACTATCTATCTTTATAATCTGATAATTTGCACTTGGTTCCAGTCTGAGATCGAGTTGGTGTATAGCAAATATTCAATACAGGGTACTGAATACCTGTAGCTACACGTGCTCTCCTTACCTATTCAGAGTGTGTCCTAACTTCTATACCTACCAATACATACATAAAGAATACTACTTGTATCTTTAGCTGGAGTAGGCACTCATAGCCTCCTACACGCACAGCCATTCATAGAAAGAGAGCGACATATCGTATACTGCATCATGTTAATGATTGCCCCGGCAGAAGGTCAAAGAAGACCCGGCAGCTTAAAAGATACGCGCGCCAATCAGCGGATACCAATCACTCCGGGGTACATGCACGCAGGTTATATGCTACCAACAATGGAGTTCTTTGGCCAGCCAGTTGGAACTAAAGCATGTTTATGGATGTGAATCTGGGCACTCTTCATATGATTTCATGCTATTTGCAGCATTCAAGGCCACTCTCAGCTGTGCCGATAATGCAGGCGGAGTCCGGGATACATACCGGCGAAAAACTAGCCTCTAACAAACGACACGGATGTCGCTCTTCCGTCAAAATTCTCGACTACCTTGGTTAACGCTGTCAGGATCTTTGAGAACATGTCATTTCTCTTTACCGATCTTTGTTCGGTGGAGGAGAACAGAACAATATGATTTGTCTGAAGCCACAACTTAGAGCTAACCACAAAAGCCAGGTGCTGGAGAGTCGCTCACAGCTGCGCAGATATTACGAAAAACAGCATAGAGCTCCCTCGCGGAAAATCCGACAAAAACCAACCCCTCCGGATAAATGACTACAATCATGTACGTTAAAGTGCAGACTCACGCCTATACTTAAACTCATCTCATCAGCCTAGCTGCGATGACAACAATTACCCGTGAACCCAGGATGATAAGTAGTCTGCACCTGAGCCCATGAAGTCCTGCCCATGGATTCAAAGTTTACACCTCTGATTGATGGCCTCTTTGCTTCTTCACCAGGTTTACAATGAAATCGTCCATATGCCTCTGTACTGCAGCCCTGGCGGCCGTTGGCCAGGCTACAGCAAATCAACCACTGTACAAGAACCCTCATGCCTCAATTGATGACAGAGTATCAGATCTGCTCAAGCGCATGTCTGTCAAGGAAAAGATGGCTCAATTGATTCAAGGCGACATGTCCAACTATCTCGATCTCACATACGGCACGTTCAACAAAACGGGTCTCGAGTGGAACATGGAGTACCGGGCCAACTCGGTATGGACGGGCTATTATACCAACATGACGACGGTTAAAAAGGCAGCTCAACTGGCACAGGATTATCTGGCCAAAGAAACAGAATTAGGTTAGACTTGGTGTTTTGGAATTACCTGACCGACTCCCTTTAACGCCTTCTAGGCATTCCCGCTTTTGTCCAGAGCGAAGGCCTTCACGGATTTTTGGGGTTGAATGCGACCATCTTCAACTCCCCAATTGGCATGGCATGCTCATTTAATCCTGAACTCGTTGAGGAGATGGCGAGGGCTATTGCGACGGAAAGTCTAGCCCTTGGAGTCAACCAGCTTTTCGCTCCGCTAGCTGATCTTGCCCGAGAGTTGAGATATGGCCGAGTGGAGGAATGTTTCAGCGAAGACCCTTATTTGTACGTCTTCTTGCGCATAGTGTGCTTTTTGGGTCATGTACTAACATGTGTCGCCAGGACGGGAGAGATGGCATACAGCTTTGCCAAAGGACTTCAAGAACAAGGCGTCTCGGCAACAATCAAGCATTTTGTAAGCCAGCTTTTGTTAGTTTATCCTGAAGGAAACCGACCAATTGCTGATTCTTCAACGAAAGGCTGCGTTTGCATCACCGGAGCAGGGCATCAACACTTCTCCGGTGCACGGAGGTGAACGTGAATTAAGGTCTCTGTATCTTCCACCGTTTAAGAGAGCCATTATCGATAGCGGTGCTACTTCTATCATGTCATCTTACAACTCATACGATGGCGTCCCGATTGTTGCGAACTCGGATGTCCTTACTGACATTCTTCGAGGCGAATGGGGCTATAAATATTTTGTTACTTCCGACGCTGGTGGCACTGCTCGCCTTGCCAATGCCTTTTATGTCTGCGAAATTGAAGATAACGATTGTATCACTCTAGAGGTACGCTGAAGATGTTGCGCTGTCTCATATATCACGATGAACTAACAGTCATAGGCTCTGCCTGCTGGCAACGATGTCGAGATGGGTGGTGGATATTATAGCTTCGAGTCTATCCCTGAACTGATCGAATCGGGAAAATTGAGTGAGAACATCTTGGATACTGCCGTTTCCCGCGTGCTCCGCGCGAAATTCACAATCGGACTCTTTGAGAAGCCTTTTACTGGCGTTTCTGACAAAGACATCTTCAAACACATCAACACCGAGGAACATAAACAAATAGCCCGACAGCTTGACTCAGAGAGCATCGTGCTCCTCGAGAATCACGAAAATATTCTCCCCTTGAAGAAGGATGCGAATGTCGCCGTAATTGGCCCCATGGCTCATGGCTATGTCAACGTGAGTATTTTGGAGTTGACATTTTGGGTTCACTCGAAGATAGTTGGCTGATGCATGCTGGGGCAGTACGGAGACTACGTGATTCACACCGCAATGACCCGAGGCGTCACCCCTCTCGATGGTATCAATGCTGTCAGCAAAGGCAAAGTCGCTTACGCCAAAGGATGCGAGCGCTGGTCCAACGACGAATCCGGATTTGATGAAGCCATTGCCGCCGCCGAAGCATCAGATGTCGCCATTGTCGTTGTTGGGACTTGGTCGCGAGACCAGAATGAGCTTTGGAGTGGCTTTAACGCGACTACTGGCGAGCACATCGACGTGAGCAACTTGAACCTCGTCGGCGCCATGCCTCGTCTGGTCAAGGCCATTATCGGCACCGGAAAGCCTACGATCGTTGTATACAGTTCCGGAAAGCCCATCACGGAGCCGTGGATATCAGAGGAGGCATCTGCTCTGGTTCAGCAATTCTATCAGTCTGAGCAGGGCGGGTACGCTCTTGCAGACGTTCTGTACGGCAACGTCAATCCTTCCGGCAAGCTCTCTGTGAGCTTCCCTTATGATGTTGGAACTTTGCCCATCTATTACGATTACCTCAACTCTGCGCGGTCTTATCCCAACCCGGGCCATGTGTATGATAACGGCACCATTGTGTTTGGTAGCACGTATGTTCTCGAGAATCCTACGGCACTCTACGAATTCGGATACGGCCTCTCGTACAGTCAATTCAAATTCTCCGACATTTCTGTTTCCAAGTCTCGCGTTTCCGCTTCTGATACCGTAACTGTCTCTGTAAAAGTGACAAACACATCAAAGCGAGATGGTGCAGAGGTTGTCCAGCTTTACGTCAAGGACGTCCTGGCGTCTGTAGAGGTACCACGTTATCAGCTCAAGGGCTTCAAAAAAGTGACTGTCAAGGCCGGTAAATCTACAACTGTCAAAATTGACCTTGCAGTGGAGGATTGGGGTCTCTGGAACCGCAAGATGCAGTACGTTGTTGAGCCTGGAGAATTCACAGTGCTTGTGGGCAACTCTAGTGAGAAGTTTCAGGGCAATGTAACAGTCATCGTTTCATGAGGTTACCTACTAGGTGTCTAGGTATATCAATGACTTATGTGGACATAGTGGCAAAGGGAAAACTACTAGAAGAATTCCTATTGCATTTACAGAAAAAAGTACAGATTGCATCTTCCAACTTTATCTAGATCCACGATGAGATCTCCATCTTCAGTGGCAAGTTCATCTCAAAAGCTAAAGTTGTCATTTTCGATAGCGGCTCAATGGTTGTTAAACAATTCTCGTCTTTGCAACTTCCAAGATTCACCTAGAGAAGGATTGTCTTGATCTTCGCTGATTCAATTCTGTCCACTTTCGATTCGTTTCTGTTCTGAAAGTTTTTACTTCTACACGCTAGCTCGTCAAGGCATTTTGTTCATTAAGCTAACGAGGCGGCATCATCTCCCCTCCCAGCATAATCGATGAAACGACTATAGAGTGGACCGGAACCAGAATTTAGCTGTCCGTCAAACGCCAGTTGAAATGCGACAATAGTCCATGTAATCTAGGGAATCAAAACCAACCACTTGGTGCCGTATTACTATGTCGTCTCATGCTTTAGCAGGGTTTGATTGACCGATACTAAAAGAACTTGACCCTTGTAAGATAAACCAACTCTAATCCTAAAAAGGCGGGGCGAGAAAATCAACGCTACTGGAGACGATATAAGCATTCACTACGACTCTATGATTGACAAACGATAGTTCTGGTCTATATTAGCGGATAGGTTAGGCCAGATAGGTATTCAGGCATTGTATTTCTTGTCACGTAACCAGGAGAGAGAGTATCAAGTAAACACAATCTATTGTTATAATAACAATTGACCATCCCAAATTATTCCAAATGAGTGTATAGAAGTGAATATATATAATGCGATGTTCCCCTATGTTCACTCCCTGAACATCTTCCTAAAAAAGGATCCCATTCGCCAGTGTTCCTTCTAACAATGAACGTATTCCTGATTAGCTCGGCTACCAATAGTTCTTCCGTGGTGCTTACCCGTAGGTTTGCTGTTGTGAGCCATTAAGGCTTTGGGTCGTAGCCCAACAGCTTATTTGTGAGGGGTGCATTTCTTGCTGTTTGCCAGCGAATACTGGGTCGCGTCTTTTGGAATGCCAGCCGAGCAGCCTTCAAAGTCCGATGCGGTTTGGAATGAGAGGTAGCCATTGCTCTGGAGTTGCCAGTGAGATCCGATGAGCGAGTTGCAGTTGGCGCCTCCGTAGGACGACCAATGCTTGGGAACCTGAACTTGGTTCAGGATTTGAGCACACGAACCAGCTTCACCCTCCACAACGCTGTTGTGGTTGACGCTCAGGCAGAGGCTGCTATCGTCGTTTTGCCACGAAAAGTAGTGGCTTTGAACGCAGTTGACACCGCCGCCCGTGGCACCGCCAAGTCCAATACAGCGGGAGACGCATGAAATGGACGTTGCTTGGGCACTGGCAGCGAGTGCCGCAAAAATGAAAATGGCGTTAGAGAAGAACTGCATGTTTTCTTGTCAAATCAGTTGATAGGATGCTTGATGCTTTGGTGGAAAGACTGGAAAGGATGGATGTATTAGAAGATTGCGGGAGGTAAACGAGGAGATGTACATCTTTTATAGACATTTCATAGGCGGCTCTGCATGTGTTCTAGATCTATATGGGTGATTCTGAGTTAGGTTCGGAAATTGTTTCGCCGGCGGTGAGAATGCCAACTCGCTAATAGTATATACAGATATCTTAGCGTTACCGCGTAGCATGGACTTATGGAGTATATTCCTAGGTTGTTTGGAATCTGTAAGCATCTTCCTACAGTTTCAAAGTCATAGCTTTCCATCCGATTGGTGGCCTTTTACTAGGTTGAACGATTGCTATACGATCTAAACATGCTAGTAAACTCGCCTTTGGCTCGTGCGCGTCTGAAGCCTAAGTAGTTTGTATATAATAGTTAGAAATAGGTATTATGAGTGTGACATTTGCTAGAGAGGAGAGTACTATATTTGGTTTGGTTTGGTGTATTTTACGCCATGCAGCCTAACTAATTTCTTCGCCAGGCCGGGCCTCCCGTGGGGCATAAGGCGCTTAGCGACACACTCGCCAGTGAAGCTCACTATCTAATACTATGCTAAAAGGGAGTACTATTTACATCGTAGCTGAAGGTTCGCGGAACAGAGGGAGGTTTACAGTGCTAAGACTCTAGGGCTCATCTTGTGGGCACAGGTCAGTGTCAAACACATTCGTACAGGCTTCATGAAGAGAGGGCTTCGGCCCTGGGGAGTACTATAGGCATTACGAATTGCTGTAATGTAGTTAGCTTGTAGCCAATTTCTACTATTTGGAAACATGAAGTCCTGGGTCAGTTGTGGCTGTGGATCATTGATATCAGTGGAATACTTCATGATATGGAGTCCAGTAGTATACTCCGTAATACCTTAGTAATAATTGTTATGCTTATGTATTAAGTGTGCCCGGCTGTCGTCGGATTAGTTCCGGTTGTCGTGGGGTAGAGATTGATGCAATGATGATCCGATTGTTCCCATGCCTCGGGACGAAAACAACATGTGAAACGCTGACACAAGACTGTCAAGAGACAATTCACGGCTGGTTGGCATTTTTCACAGCACTCCTGTCTACTTTGGAACATGTCAGCTCTTTTCCTTCACGATCTACTTTGAAACTGGTTGATTTTCTACACATAATATCCCCCAATAGCCCCTCAACAGGAGGATTACACAATCGTGCCATGAGGGTTGTAAAGTCTAGATACACCATGAAATAAGTTTTTTTAGGTCACCATCACAGGTTTTAGTGTAAGGAGTCTAATGTTCTAGAAGTTTATTCAAGTCTATGAAGAACTAGTGGTATTCTTTGCAGACCATTTTCCTATTTGGGGATAATTTGACGGAGTAAAGTAAGCTTCATAAAAAAGTTTGCCCCTGAAAGTCTTAATCTATTTGACAGATAAAGTCAATCACGCTAGCTGATGAAGGCGTAACTAGTATAAGAGTCCTAGGTAGCTTTAATTTCTTACCTATGGTTTGCAAACACACTGGGGTTGGAGAAAAGTGCAGCACATGAGAATACTTGACTGCTCAAGAGCCCTTATTTTGGTGTCTTATTATACGGATATATAGGTGTGTTTATATGTAGTCTGAATATCTTTTTCCTTTCTTTTTCCTCTTCTTTGGTGTAAACCGCTCGCCTGCATCTGTCTGGAGATACCCAAGTTTCATAAGATCTATGGGATAATTCATCCCTGGAAGCTTTTACCAGGCGAAAACGCTTGATTTATTTTACGGATGAATGTAAGCCCTAACTGGGGTGGGCGCATAAGCAAGATCTAGCTGAACCACACACATCAAGTAATATTGTGCTCCGTGAACCAATAGTGCGATCAGCCTATTCTTTTAAGGAAAAGTTCGCTGATATGATTCGAGCTACTATATCGGCATTCTCCGAATAGCGTAATCAACAGAGAGGAACCTTTGGGATTTACAAAGCCACACTATCACTGGATGAATTATCTTCTAGACATGAAAGTGACTCGACTTGACGAGCTGCACTCTTCCTCGGGTCTAATGACCCTTATCACGGATGAGGCCCTCGAATGTGAATTTGACCTAGATCGATTGTAATCTACTTCTGTAGTAGTTAAGGTGTTCTACTAATCAGTCTCTGTATGAAAAAGGGACATTACATGATTGCATTTTCCAATGATGGACACTATATAGATAGATTAAGATGGCCGAGTTCCTTCGAAATCAATCTTTTAAGAAATAAGAAAGGCCAGAAATTTATGAATGAGTGATTAAGGACGTCCTCCATTCCGATACTTCCATAACCTGCTTATTTGACCCATTTGTTCTGTCCCGTTGTTCCTTATACCATGGCTTGAACCATCCATGGCTGAGCTTCCCAGCACTGATTTTTCGACATCGGTTCGCTGCAATGTATTGTTTAACGCTGTCTCAAGTTCACCGGTCTGATCACAATGTGCCAGACATGATTCGGGTTGTTCTTGGCCAGCATATCGATCGGGTGTTTCAGCAGATGAGTCCATTTGCATAAAATCTCCAGCAATTGGCTCGCGAGTAACACGTCCGGTCGGGTCCAGTGGGAAAATAGAGTCAAGGTAATGCTGGTTGAGCTGATGGCCTGCCCGGGGATTTACAAACACTTTACCCATAAATCTGTTCTCGAGATGTTTCTCGGGGTCTATCCCAGTAAAGTTGAGCACTCCCCATCTGCTGGCGAAATCATAGGCGTTAGCGTAATGTTCTATATGTGAGATAGCCCTCGGGTTGGTCGCCTGAGGTGCTGTCCTTTTGGATTCCGGAGCTGCTGTAGCAGATGAGACTCTGCTGCGAGACGGGTTGCTGAAATGGTTTGCAAGGCACCCAAAGGTGTAAACTTCGAGAATTTGAAGAAGGTCTTGCGGAATTTCATCAAGAAGCCAGTCCAGTATCATTCCACCTTCAATGCCACCCTGGGAGTGCAGGATGAGGACAACCTTTTTCACTCCTGGGCGGTAGAGTGCCTTTTTGACTAACACATAGCAATCTCGGATATCGGAAGTGGCATAAAGCAAAGCCCGTTGAATTAGGCATTGCACAAGGTCGAAAACAACACCGTATCTGATCAAAATTAGAAAATTTGTTATTCCAATCCCGTAGATTAGGGTTATGGAATGATATATATGATGGGCGCAACTGACGTTTTGTTATGTACTCCGACCACAGGACGGTGAAATGTACGGGATAGCCGGTCAATATTACTTTGAAGCCAGTGCTTTCTGAGTAAGTCCGAACAAAACATTAGTTCACGTCATGCTTTTCCTGCCAAAGAAGATAATGCAACTTACCCTACACAGATTCCGTTGAGAAAAATCCAATACTCATCATCGTGAGCAGTCCATTGTCGCGAGTATTCATCCTCTGTCGACGGTAAACCGTTCTCGGGAATACTCCGATTAAAATGCCAGCATATGAGTGCATTGAGGCACAGAACTGCTGCAATGTAAAGGAGATAGACAGAAACTGGGTTAAATATCAAAAGTGGCAGAGTTACAAGAAATGCCAACTGGAGAACGAAAAGAATGCAGTGCAATGAAATGTCAAAGACGTTGTCCCATGAGGGATAAAGTTCGTCCAACGGTCCGGAGGGCCAAGGATAGAGAGGTAGAAATATAAACGGAATATACAGTATATTAGAAAAAAACAACTTGACATCTGAGATGAACAAGTGCCAAGGAGATCCTGTGTGTGCGAGTGGACGCTCTGTCTCTTGACCTGGCTGGGAACGCCAGACACTGGGACAATTTGTAGGCATTATTCTTCAAAGTGATTTTGCTTGACTTGTCTGTCAATTGACTATGAGAAAGAGCAGAGTGCTGTGCGGTATATATGCACAAATAGGTTTACTTTCAAGAGACATCTATTTTCAAGTACAAGTACCTCATCTGTCGGCAAGGTCTCACGCAATTGCGTGCCAACACCAGCAGTCAGAAGTAGTAAGTGACTGGTTAGACAATTAATACATGGAAATTCATCATAAAGCTTATGTCGTTTCTTATCATTATCACATGTCTGAACATTTGGTTACATTCCAGAACCGGGGCTGAGAGAAAGAGTTCGTTTGATGCTTTTGCGGCTGACGCAGCCAGTGTGACTAATACTGGCAGACTGGCTGGAATGAGGCACTGATACACATTACTAGAGCTAGATTTCATATTCGTTTGTCAAAATATCAGAGCTGATTCGCGTAACCATTTATGAACAACCTTGAATTTAAGCCAACACGGTGAATTCCCACTGTATCTTCAAATTTACTTTTCTCCGCTTCCACGAGCAGCTTGTTTACGTTGTTGATAACGCGCCGGTAAGACTCTGCTACTTACTGAATGCTGAAAGCTCATCAGCCCCCCATCAATGAGATAATAAGCTGACAGTAGTACGGATGTAACTTTGTAGTATTTTCCATCGCAACGCAATAACGACGCAATAGTGCACTCACAGGCTGTTCTTAACCTCCTCAATTAACTACAACATATATCGGGGGCCTCTAACGTATGACATGTGATACTCTCTTTTTATAATGAAGCATTCACAAGTATAAGTATAACATCTATGGCTTCTCGCTCAGGAGTGTTCCAGTTCCTTCTTCTATGCTTGGCTGCTTCTCAGAGTTTGAACAGCATCTGTGATATAATATCTTACTCAAATCTATTGCAAAAACGTACCATTACTTTGAGAACGTCATGCCCAGTGTAAAGAAACCAGCCGTTGTAATTAACGGTGAAAAGATGGCCGAAGCTGTGAAAGCTGATGATCACCTCGGGGCCTTGAATTCTCAAAGCTCTTCCTCGGCCCGCGATCACAACGGCTTTCGCCAGCTAGATGGCGTATCAACGCAAAGAAATCACCGGCGAAAGGCTCCTCGGCTTGCTGAAAAGGATACACACGAGCACCGATCTCGTCGCCCTTTCCCCCGAATCTCACTACCAGTTGAGCTCATGCGAAGCTCTTATGATGTTGTAGTAATTGGAACCGGGTACGGAGGAGGAGTTGCAGCCAGCCGTATGGCAAGAGGAAGACAGAGTGTTTGCGTCTTGGAGAGAGGAAAGGAGAGGTGGCCTGGCGAGTTTCCCGAAACTCTCGCTGATGCCGCCAAAGAGATCCGCGTAAGTGGCGAGTTTGCACCAGGGGATAGGAGGAGTATCCCAGGCACGCTTGTGAACGGCGGGAACCCTACTGGACTATATCATTTCGCCACCGGGGACGGGCAAAACGTGTACATGGGCAATGGGCTGGGAGGTACAAGCTTACTGAATGCGAACGTGTTCTTGGAAGCAACTCCTGCTGTTTTGTCGATGGACATATGGCCAGAAGAGCTTAGGGGAGCAAAAGAATGGACGAAATGTAAGCCTTACGATATTACTGGCTCAAGTGGCATTCATATCGTGTCCCTCCAACTAAGGAACTTTAACAAAACTCAGACTGACATTTAAATAGACTACAACAGGGCCAGAGATGTTCTGGAACCAGCACAGTACCCGACGTCATATCCCAATCTTCTCAAGGCAGATTTGCTCAAGAAGCAAGCGGATCTTAAGGGAGTTGGAGATAAATTCTATCGCGTTCCCCAGACAACCCGATTTCAAGACGGGCCCAATGCTTCTGGAGTTTCCATGCGAGCTTCAACTCTGACAGGCATGGACGCCACCGGCATTAACGATGGAAGCAAGTCTACTACCCTAGTCAACTATCTCAGTGACGCATGGAACTGGGGGGCAGAGATGTTCTGTGAGTGCGAGGTGCGGTACGTGACGAAAGCGCCCGGACGTGACGGATACATCATCTACTTTGCTTGGTTGTCTCAAAAGCGTGGGATGTTTACGAGTATGTACGACGACCTGATGTGGGTTCACGCAAAGAAATTGGTCTTCTTTGGTGCTGGTAGTCTCGGAACTACGGAAATCCTCCTCCGTAGTAAACAGCTGGGCCTGAGTATGAGTGATGATCTTGGGACAGAAATGAGTGGGAACGGAGACATGTTGGGGTTCGCGTAAGTGAATATTTTGCCCATGTTCTTCTGTTGGCCCACAGAGTTCGTTTGACTGATCTCATTTTGTGGAACAGATACAATACAGATTTCGAAGCCAACTGTCTAGCACAACCTCACTCTACGCCGGAGCGGCCTGTTGGACCTTGTATCACGTCAGTGGTTGATTTGCGCGATCAACCAAATCCATTGGACGGTTTCGTGATTGAAGATTGCGCGGTACCTCGGGCACTTGGCCCATTTATGTTTCCTATGCTGGAATACTTGCCAGATCAGATAAAGCCTTCATATCATCTCGCCCAAGCCTTTGCAAAAGCAGCAACCAGGTTGGGAAGCAAACTTTTCGGGCCGTATTTCGCCAAAGGCAGCGTATCAAGAACAGGCGTATATCTTATTATGTCTCATGATAGTAAGTGAAGATTACGAGCAATTGGTGACAATAGTAGTGCTCACATACTTTCTTTAAAGGTAGTCAAGGATCCCTCACTCTCAGAGACGACAAGCCTGTACTGAGCTATTCCGGCGTCGGTCGTTCCAAATCCGTTTCTCGTATTCATGATTTCCTAGAAGAAATGACAGCAGCCGTAGGCGGAGACTTCATTGCCAATCCTGCTTGGAGTCTTCTAGGATCTCAAGAGATTACCGTTCACCCAATGTATGTCCAACTCACAATATTACATCTCCCCATTTTCTTTGGTCATCTCTAACAAGTGCTACAGAGGGGGAGCTCGAATAAGTGCCGATGGAACTGGCAAAATGGGCGTGACGAACAGCATGGGAGAGATATTTGACGGAAATGGAGACCAAGTCCACCGAGGCTTGGTCGTGTGTGACGGATCTGCCGTCCCCGCCGCTATGGGTGTGAACCCGTTTGCTACAATAACAGCCCTTGCTGAAAGATCAGTCGAAATGGTTGGTAAAAAATATGGAATTTCGATAGACTATGACACCAAGATTGGTGAGTCACACCCACGAAACTGTCTCCAGGTTCACAGACTAACAGCTGAGCAGAGCTGTTGGACATCTACGGCTCCGCAGAGCTCTCTTTGCCGAAAGAGCCAGATATAGAAAAGCTGGCGAACACGATCAGCAAAGCCCGCGAGAATAACTATTCTGGCGTTGGTTTCTCCGAAGTCATGGCAGGATTTGTTCACGTTGGGCAAGATGTAGGTGACTTTGTCATTGCCACAAATATTGCTCGCAGCCAATGCGAATCTGCGCGCTTCTTTCTCAGTGTAAAGTCCTGGGACAGTAGCGAATGTAGGTTTTCACTCCATCCAACTCGTTGTATCTAAGCTAAGATATTCCGAACAGTGGTTGATAGCAACTCTCACTCGGCCAACTTGACGGGTACTTTCTGCTGCAGCGCTCTTGGGGGAACGTTCATCGTTCATCGTGGTACCTTCCAGCTGTTCAATCAAGATCCCCGACAGCCGGAGACAACGAACTTGACGTATAACTTCGACATGATATCTCCAAGCGGTGCGAAGCTGCACTTTAACGGTTACAAGGTCGTCAACTCAGCGGCGTATCTCAACATCTGGGAAGTCTGGAAGCAAACATCCACACTATTCGTGACAATCACAAACAGTGAGGCCACAGTAGTTGCGCGCGGCACACTACACATTCAACCAGCAGACTTCTTCCAAGAGCTTCAAACGTTTGAGGCAACCGCGCCAACACTCTGGGCAAGGCTTACATCCGCTGCCAAGTTTTTCACATTCTTTGCCAGCCAGGTTGCCACGCCGCTCTTCTCAAAATTGGGCAGTCTGCAATGGCCAGGCAATGCAGTAGATCATGCTGCTGGTGTTACCGCGGCGTCCCAAGTGATATCACTGGAGGCAACAGACGGCGTCAAGACAACAATGCTCATGTGGAATCCCATTGGAGAGAATGGGCAGGAAATATCCTCCGCAGCACCGACCATTCTATTCATTCCAGGCGCCGCGGTTGATCATACTATATTTGCGCTTCCAACAATTAAAAAGAACGCTGTTACCTACTTTCGCGAGGCCGGTTACAGGGTGTATTGTGTCACTCATAGGCTGGGCCGGACGGCTATATCTAGAGAAGGACACACTTCGTACGATGCGAGGCGAGATATTTACGCTGCCTTGGCTCATATTCGGAAAGTCAGTGATGCTCATAACAAGGAAGAAGAGAAGGTCTATATCATTGCGCACTGCGCTGGCTCCCTTGCCCTCGCCTGTGGTCTCTTGGATGGAACAATCCCCGGTGACTGGATCCGTGGAATTACCTGTTCGATGGTATTTATGAACCCTAAGTTTGGCAAGATCAATAACTTATTCTCCGCGTTCCCGGTGGATGTGTACAGCAATCTCGTCAGCTCGTACTGGGACTGTCGAAGCAGTCCTAGCGACGGATATCTTCAACAGCTTTTCAACCAGATGCTACGTTTCTACCCCACTGGCAATCGTCAGGAGATTTGTAGATCGGTTGTCTGCCATAGAAGCGAGTTGGTATTTGGTCGGTGAGTACATACTTGGGAACTACATACCCCTAGTCCAATAACACACTTTTACTAACCAGACGTTCTATTCCAACGCCGTATTAAGACTCTGGACTCACAAGAATCTTAATGAGGCTACTCACAGACAGCTTGAGCGATTTATCGGTGGAACCTCGATGCAATCTCTCAAATGGCTTACAAACTGCGGGCGTCTTGGACAAGTCACGACTAACAACCCAGGTACAAGCCTGGTAACGCCAGGGAACATTGATCGCCTCAAAGGGATTCCCATGCTCTTCCTATCAGGCTCAGCCAACATGGTGTTCACAGCGGAGAACACGGATACCACGTACACTACGCTATGCAATGCCCATGGGAGGCAATGGTACGAAAGAGAGCTCTTCCATGGCAAAGGACATTTGGATGCTTGGATGGGATCGACAGCATATACAGATGTTTACCCAAGAGTGCAACGGCATGTTGAGAAAGTCTTTAAGGGACTGAGAGAGTGAATCAGGATTATGAAGGAGAGGGTATGCGTTAGCTTTGTAATACGACAACACTGTAGTTTCTAATATTTAATGAAGAAAAAAAAAGCAAGGAGATTTATATAATTAACAGTTCTTATTATAATAAACTGGAGTTTCACGCAGGTTATATTTATTATCAACATGGTCGGTAAAACTGCAATAGCTAGGTCAGAGTAAGGCTACGCCCCATCATTTAGTTCAAAATCGAGACTCAATCCGTAGCTCAACCCGAGCGGCCACAGCCGACCAAGCCAAACCTCGAAGATTCAAGTCGCAAAGAATGACCGATTCAGGCACAAGACCAAACTCAAAAGACCACAAACTGGGTTTTTATAAGATAATCTATCACAACCTAACTATTATCATTACAACAATGGGCGTATATGGTAGGCAGAACTGGATTAACTAACTTATTAATAGGGGCATCAAGACTTCAAACCGACATAAGGTCACTCAATCTAGATTGAAACATCAGCAAAATGTCGCTTAAATAAGCTAAGAGTTTATTCAATGTCTACTATGTTCAAGCTGGACTTTGTGTCTATATACAATGTTCCTCTTTTCCGTGTAGATGACAGTAAACAGGCTAGCCAGAATATAACTTGCTAGAACGCGAATGAGACAAATGCCACAAAAATCCTGTGCAGCATTGAAGGATTAAGCAAAGCCAGCGCTGACCACGAAGCTCACGTCGTCGTTGAACAACGTAGTTGAATCAAACTCGTGCTCGCCGCCATTAGCCGCGATATAAAGCAGTGCATTGAAGTGACGCCAATAGCGGGTAGGATAGCTCCACGAGCGCAAGGAATTGCCCTGGCCGTTGAGGCCGGCCTGTGGACAAAACGTGGCGTCTTCATGGAAGAGCTTGCTGTTGTCGTTGGCATTAAGCGTAAGCTGAAAGTTGGAGTGTCGGATGAAGCTGCCAGGGGTATCAACGGATTCGAAAGAGAAGCAGGCACTATTTCCGAGACCTGTACGGACTGTCCAGCTAGCTTGTTGCTTCAGGGCAGTGCTGCTAGATGATGAGACAACCTGAGTGTTAACAGTGGCGCCAGTATGCGCAATATAGCGTGTTGTGCAGCAAGAAGTTGTAGCTCTCAGTGAGATAGAGGAGCCGACGGTGAGAGCAGGACCGCTCGTCATCAATGAAGTGTCATAGACATATTTGGCAGCCACAATATTGGCCTGAACCGAATTCTCGGTGCTGTCTGAGGGATAGCCAGAGGTCATGACGCCCTCATAGAATGTGCCTTGGGCGCCATCGCTGTTATCTCCACCAATGCCGAGAATAATAGCACCCTCTTTGCTCATTGGATTATAGCCACCTGAAGGGCGTGCGCCGCTGTAGAATGTCGAAAGAGTTCCCGACGCAGCATCGCCTCCACGGATTGCCCACTGGTTTGGCTCACCCTTGACTACTGCAGTGACAAATCGAGAAGAGATGGTCGGGTCTGCAGGGTTATTAATGGCACTAAGACCAGAGAACAGGCCGTTCTCAAGATCTGCCATGATCCATGGACCACTACCGGAGCCAGTACCGCGGCCAGAGCCATCTCCAGTGCCAAAGTAGATGGCCTCCATGTGGCCGTTACCCGTGTCGCGACTATTGGTCTCAGCGTTGCCATAGTCAAAGCAGCAAGCCGTATTATAGTGAGTTCCATCAAAGATAGCATACATGCCCTGTGATGCATCTCCCGTGGCCGTACCATTAGGGGCGTTGTTACGATATCCAGTTGTAGGCGCGATGAAGACACCGTACGCCTTTTGGCCGTTCAACCGAACCGGTGCTGCAAACGCGCTGGCCAAATTATCAAAGCCACCAGGGAGAGGTCCGCTTGCAGCACCTCCGGGAGGAGCCTGGGTAAGGTGGTTGCCACGGCCAGACTGGTCATAGATGATGGTGATGAGGCAGGTCGTGCCAGCACAGAATGAATCTTGAGCAGCGGCATTGGCAACACCACCAGCAGACAATGGCCCTACATTCGTTGTAGCACCATCAGAGCCGCGTGATACTTGATATAGCGGCCCGGAATAAGCTCCGTATAAGGCACGAGTGCTGCTATGCGCAGCAACACATGGCGTCCCACCGGATGCGTAGATATCGCAGGGCCCTGCAGCAACAAGAGAACCACTGGCAACAAGGCCAAAGGTAAGGACGCTAGAGCGTCGGTGATTCAATCGAGAGAACATATCAGAAAGTAGCGTTGTTGTGTAGGGTCACCATGAGATGGATCGACAAGAATGTTGATCTGCTGCTGGGGAAGAGGGCGATATCGTTGGGTTTTTAAGCGACACAATGTCTAACCTTTTCACCTGTGCTCCGTACCAAACATAATGAAAACTATTCTTTTGAGTAATAGCAATAGCATCTATCACCAAAGAGGCAGGAGAATGCCCTTGTAGTTATAGACAGAGTATTGCATACTCGTATGTTTGCGAATGCTACCCATGTGCGTGCCTTGCTCTAAATAGGATCTAACTCACCATGCAGGCTGCAGTAGTCTTAAACATTAATCTGGAAAGGCCGAGATAGTTCCGTATACATTGTGCTCTTGTGCCTTGTTTGCTGCTCTATAACATCTGGCAAACCGGATCTCATGACACGCGTGGCATGAGGTCACCGCCCAGGCACGGGTCAGAGACGGATCAAAGATCGATCAACAAGCTCTTACTCAGTTCGTGTCTTAGCGGCAGTTTACTAAGCTGACTTTAGAGTTTATAGAGAGCTCACCAAAAGTAAACAATCCGGCTAAAAACCCATTGAGTTGCGATATGTAATTTGACTTTCGATAATACAGCCCACATAAAGTAGGAGAGGTGTAAGCACAAGAGATACCCTGTTCAATGGGATTAAACTAGTTAAACCCCCTCAAGGATTCATAACATATTCGGCTTTACTTAGCCCTTACATCGTTCATCGACTTGTAGGTGTTCCTTTCAACTACCGGCGTCATCGGAGACTATGACGGACTACCCCAGTCCCGACTCGATATTAACCAGATCCTCCCCAACGCTTGAAACAGAATACCGCTTCACTAGTCACCAGGCTACTCGAATAGCTTCTTTTCGGCTTGCTCATTTTGGCCCGTGCGGGAATTTCCACCAAGCGTGCCAATAGCAGCAGACATTCCCAGCGCTGCCTGAAGAAGGATCAAACAAGTATCCACTGCCATCGTGGGGAAATCTTGTTAATGTCGGGGATTAAAGCCGTCCTGAGGCACCATCACATGTCCAAGTCAGAGCATCATTCGAGCCGCACTTCATTATCCTTTCAAGCTTGACCTCGCTTCAGGAATTTGTGCTTAAAGCCGAGAAGCGACTTTTCAAATATGACGCCGACGAAGCTGCGCATACAGCCTGTTCTCTGGATGGGCAGATCCCTCGTGATTCCATTCTGGTTGCTGCTCACGGGAATCACAGAGTTGCATTCTTGTGGGGAAACCCCTGCCGAAGCCGAAGCGAGGGGAAAGATGTCGCTGTGAGACGATCTATTTGGCGCCATTTCCCCAATCATTGCAACCACATCAGAGCCGATCCAGAGTTCAGGTGTGCGTATGACTAGATTCACAAGTCCCGAACTAGCTGGATCAGCTGGGACAGCGTCTCCTCGGATGGCGAGGGCGAACACGTGCTCATACGTCGCATGATGGCGGATAGGTTACAAAATAACACAAAACGAAAAGGTCCGCCAACAGTCTAGGGCAAAGACATGTTGTAAACCTCCAATAAAGAGGCGTATTCCCACTGCAAATACGTCAGTCGAGGAACCCAGTTAATACGACTTGATCCCAGAATCAGGAACCAACTGTGGCGGATTTCCTTCTCAGGCAGGAGATCCACTTCTTAATTACTTAGTTAGGGAGGTGTCCATTTTCAGTTCTGTCGGCTTACAGCCACAGAAAAGTTACCCTGCTCTCTTCGCACGATGATTCTCTTCTTCACACGTTTGAACACAAACTAACAAGGTCCACAAGTAAAGTCACAAGGTTCCTGAGATCCAACCGTAGCGATAGTATTGCATTAGTGCGTAATGTCGTATTATACATGGATTGATATAAGCCGCGTGCGTATCCGACGATATTCTGTCAAGTTGCAAATGGTCCTTCCGGATCACAGAAGTAACAATGTCAATTCAGAATAAAAGCCTTCTTTATGAAAGATAGGCAATGAACGGTTCGAGAGTTATGAGAGTTGAGAACTCTTCAGTTGCCATACCTGGCCTTACCATATGATATTTGAGCTCAACAGTGAGCTTTGTAGAGATTAATGCCAATCTATTACTAATACGCACTTGTTCCCTGTGAGATTCCCCCCTCCCCTTTTCTCGTATAGGGGAACAAGTGATTGGTAGAGTACACATTATTGTAATGTAATTACGTTATATCGGCATGGTTGGTGATTCGAAACCAAAGACGCTCTCTCATAAGTTTTCATAACATCCTGTCTCGGTAATTATCTTAGTCTAGCTTCTCTATCATATCTCTTCGGGTTGTCGCTGACGTTTGGTTAGTCTCCTAGCGTCACTGGAAATGCTCACAACTCGAGCCATTATGACGCTGCAGAGTCCCTAGTATACCAGCTATTTAAGCCACGATGACTGTGTCTAAAAATAGGAATATCGAAACGGAAAGATTTTGATTCTTGGCGTGAATAACCTCCTAAATCCTCTTCTAACTAGCCATCAGCGTGTTAGCGCCAGGCGGATTACATAGGCTCACCTTCAGCTGAGAGTAAGACACCAGTGATGATAAGCTTCCCGAGCACAAATGCGAGATTAGCGTAGTGCCTCATCGTCATGTCAGTCGGCTCATGGTTATCGTCATTATGGTGCCGGGATAGGGGGATCAAGTTCGTCCGATGGGACAATTTAACTGCACTCAACTAAAGCGGTTGCCGTATTCGAGAGCCTGGATCAAGGCATCTTCATCGATAATGGCTTTCCGTGCGGTGTTGACCAAATACGAGCCGTCTTTCATTGCCGCAAACTCGGCAGTGGAAATAGAATTGCGAGTATCGTCATTGAGTGGACAATTGATCGATACAATATCCGACACGCTCAATAAAGCATGTAGAGAGTCACGATACGACGCGCCGCACAATGCCTTCTCTTGATCGCTCAATCGACGGCGATTGAAGTACTTGACGCGCATGTTGAAAGCCTTCGCCTTTGACGCTACTCGCGTTCCCACTTTGCCCATTCCAACGATACCGATTGTCATGCCCGTGATATCGTGAGTAGGATACAGAACGTTAGTCCACCGCTGCGGAGCGTTTGCTCTGTACGATACGTATTGCGCACGGCAGTGAGAGTTAGGAATATAGCCATATTAGACGTTGATTCGACTATCGCATCGGTCGTATTACAAAGCCAGATTCCCTGGTTCGTTATCCATTCAACGTCAAACTCATCGTAGCCCGCTTTTGACGAGGTGATGATACCACACTCGGAAGCTAATGGACCGAAAAGATCTTGGTCGAAAGGCGCATACGTTATTGTGCCCATTGATACAAGAAAAGCGTCAATAGAACCATGCTTAGCTATTAGAGCCGGGGTTTTTTCTTTTACTTCTTGGCAATCATCGGCTTCGAGGATCTGCTAGACATTAGATCAGCCAATTATCTTAGACTGCAATTCAACGCAACGTAGTCGACCTACAGCATAGTCAAATTTCTTCTGAAAGGCCGAGAGATATTCTCCTCCCTCATGCCTTGGACGGCCAAGCCAGACGACAAACGGCCGTTCTTTGTGACTCTTTGGTTGCGTTATTAGAAAGAAGTAAGCGGATCATAGAACAGAGGTGTTAGTGGATTATACGTGAATAAGAGATGTAATTTATCGAAAAATAGCAGATGATAAGGGTTTTGAAGTCTATGATACGGAACAGGTTTGCACCAAACAGCTAGGGCAAATGTTGTTACTCATGGTAGGATTATACTGCATTTAGACTCCGTGATTGATCACTTACTTTGACCAACCATCTTTGGCGATTCGTTTCTCATTGTTTCCGGACTATGGATCTCTTCAGAACAAGTGTCCGCCCCGGCGCTACGGGCCGACAGTTGAGCTGCCTCGTCAGTCAAAGTCACTTCCGCACTCGGAGAACATCGAGGCCATGACGAAGGCATGCAATCTGGGCCTGCCAGTTTATGAAGCAGCTGTAATCTAGAACTTGTATTCAATAGCCATTGGACTACCATTATAATTGATAGGGTTGAATCCGATGTCGCTTGTAACCGCTGTATTGTTATCCATCCTATGTTTGGGCCTGATACGCAGCGTTGACATCCTGTTCGATGCTAGTCTCATTGAATACGAATGATGCTGCTCTGTACTGTCAAGATCAATGTCTATGGATATTCAAAATTCATTCCCAATATAGCTGCCATTAGGATACCTCTTCATCTTTAATCCCCAGAGGTTGCGGCAGATTCAACACATCCAGCCAAGGAAAGTCTTCGGCGTCAAACTCGTTGTAACCGAAACATGACGAGTTACCCAGGCTTTGTCGCCCATTAAGCAATACGGGCTCATCTTTATCGCCCACAAGTCTCTTAGTTAACAATTTCCGGGGATCTAATGCAAATTTTACCACAGGTTTCACTGCCACACGCATCCAAAAAGCATCGCAAGGGCGACAAAACAAGACAATAACACCGCGGAATGAGCGAAGGATACCGTTCTTGCTGACTGGATTCTCCGTGAGGTCCCATGTGACTGAATTTGCTCCATCGTCATGGTCGTCATCTTGTGCCAAATTACCATGAACCTCGAGTCGGCCCTCTTCAGTGAAAGTCGTCTCTTGGGACCACTTGGCAGACATCTGAGCCGGGCCAAAGGGTGTGTGAAAGACGATTGGCGCGCTAATCTCTAATATTCTGTGGTTCTCTCGCGGTTTGGTCTGCCCAAGTATCTGTCTGGGCGCAAAGTTGGCAACAATTGGGTCCAATGAGGCATCAGTCGAGCGCAAGTAGGGTTTGCTGGGGTTTAAAGCTTTCTCAAAAGTGACTTCGATCTCTGCAGAGGAGAAGCGGCCGAGTCCCTTCGGGGGGAAACGGAAGGCGAAGTCAATGCCAAGCAGACATGCAGATTTATTCTCGTAGGCGCCGTATTGAACATGACGGACGTAGGCACTGTAGCCTGTTTTGCCGATTTGATCTTGGGTCGCAAGAGACCGATTCACACGTTCATCGTTCCGAATACCCAGCAGACCGTCGTCTTCATCTGAGAATACAAAGTCGGATTCAAAACCGAGCGCCGGTGGGTCTATTGTATCTGACATCGGACTTATGATCAGAAACGGCTGACGAACATGTAATTTGTAGTATCTGGTGATGAGAAAGAAGGGGAGAAGGCTGAGTGTAACATGAGAAATTATTACATTATCTCTGAGTCCAAGGATTGAGACAACTGTGCCCCGCCACACCAGTAACAAAAGTCCGACGCATCCCAGCGCATGACCACAGCCTTGCATAAGTACCTACATGTAGGTGTGGAAAAATGTATTTGCTGCTACTGCAAGGCTCTTCTACTATAGATTTGAGTGGCTAATAGCTAAAAATGCGAGGGGCTCAGGATTTCTCTTCTTACAACTGTTGACTACTTCCATAGCGTGGACCCCATCTAGTAAAGCAGTCATTTGTTTCGCTCAACACACAGGCGGAATCTTTAATAACCAGCAAATGGAAGCCCATCCGAAGGAGCCTGCTAAATCGTCACTTGAGGACATTAGGCACAAAATCAGAGGTTATCGCTTCATAGGGCACTTTGCTGAAGCAACGCTACTTATTGAAAAGTTGCCCGAAGATATTAGACACGCGAGGGGCGTGGCAATTGAAGCCGTCCAATTATACCTCACCCAGGGACAATATCGGTTGGCGGCCGATATCTGCAATAATGTTCCAGGACCATCTTCTGCAGAAATCGAGAGCGAAAGTTTTGCATTTTCCAACCAGGATGAAGACGTTGTTGCTTTTGAGCTTCTGCGTACCCTCACATTGCGAGTCGTGAGATTCTCAAAAGTCAAGACTGCGCTCGAGATAGCGCAACGCTTTGGCACTGCTTGGAATCTTGGTATGATCGTCTCGGAGTGCAATCTGGATAACTAGCGCTGATTGTAACATTTAAGATAAGCCTATCACACTTGATACATTCGTTGGAAATCGCAGAAAAAGTGAAGATAGAAGTCCACTAACTTCCAGCAACGAAGGGCCAGAAATAGCAGTGTTGGGCGGGAGTATATTACACATCTCGGAATACAGAGTATGTCACTCATACATTCACATGCGATAACTAAGTCTGATTTGCTGTTCAAGGTATTAATGATCTCTTTCTATTGGAAAATAATGGTTGCTGCTGCCGTTCATGGCCTGCTTGATGAGTCGGCCACCAAAGCTTCTGCTTTAACGACCATTTCTTCTTTACGACAAGCTTTGCAGGCTATGAATCGCTTACAAGAGGCCTCCTCTCTATTCTACTTCGAGATCCAGCTTATTGAAATCCCAGAGGAAGCAATGCAGCGGCTTCAGAACTTTTTAAATGTTCTGAACGGCGATAAGTGGGATGTAGAGAGGGCTCTCACTTTGGCTGAGATTTTTAAACTTCAGATTCAATCTTCTGATGATACGGTTCTCTCAAAGGCTGAAGACACGTTTAAAGAAGCACAAAAACTCTTTAACAAAGTTTCCCATACTTTTGGCAACATTGACCTGGATTTTACTCGCATTTCCTTTGGTCACACATTTTCGACCGAAGAAAAATTCGTTCAAATAAGTGGTCTTGTGGAAAGGTACTTTGAAGTCAACCACTATGGGCAGATGATGTTATGCCTCACAACTGCCCTCTCGGTGCCAGTTGATGCCTATGTCGAGCAAGTCAAGTATACGACCGAACTCCAGCAGCAGTTGGCCGATGAAATGGGCAGTGAAATGATGCAAAACGCTGCTCTGATGCGCGCCGCAGGCTCAGCTAATTTGAATGCGTCTGAATATGGTTTCGCACTCAATGCCTTGGAACCTCAATACATGAACCTCCCTAAAGAGGTTGATCCAATGAGCCACTCTCTCCTGGCAACCACCATGTCAATGATATATGGAAGTTTTGGAAACAATATGGAAGCTCTTAAGGCCGCCGAAGAGAGCCTAGAGATTGCAAAATCTGGAAAATCCTACAAGGCTTGCTCAGACGCTGCTTTGATCTTGGGGCTTCGTCATCTCTCTATCTCCGAGCAGTATCCAAGGAAGTCCGCTGAAGACATCAAGTGGCTATCATCAGCTATGGATATTCTAAAAGAGTGGATAGAAAGTGACGCTGAAAACGGCTATACCGATGGAGAAGTCCAAAAGTGTATACTGGTTGGTAAATGGGAGAATTTGAGAGCATCCGACGAACCGGAACTGAAGACCACGCCAACTGAGAAACCATGGATTGAGAGAGTGAAGAACCTTTTACCAAGCCAAACGGATGTCCTGAAACGAAGCGAACTTGTGGACCTCGAAGTCAGCATGCTGATGCGCCAGGAGAACTTCTTCGAGAGTTCGAAACTATCTACGGATTATCTCAACGATCTTGATAAGTTGCCATTTGTGCCGCCGATGGTCAAAGCGCAGGCGTACTCTAGGGCTGCTCTCCAGGAATGGCTTTGCTACCGGGCAATACTGGGTGAAAATAAAACTACCACTGCAGAAGAACGACTCCAAGCCACAACACATCTATATTCCGCTCTGGACCTAGCGAATAAATCGCTTCAGAAATGGCGACAAACCAGCAGCTCTGAGTTGATCATTCGCAGCACTCTAGCTCTTGGTAGTCTCCTTTCAGACGTATTACCAACAATCTCAGAAGATTTAGAGCGTGAATTACTCAGTGGATTCATGGATGAATTGCAAAAAACAGAAACGATATGCGACGATATGAGACAAAGCATCATACCCATTGAAGGGCTTACCTCCCTCATGAATAAAAGACTTCTTGTTGCCAAAGATTCGAGTCTCAAGATATATAATCTAGGAGTCCGCATAGCGTTACGTCTCAACGACTCGGCTGCAGCTTGGACATGGCTACAAAAGGGAAAGTCCAGGGCATTCTCAGACTCTCTCGGCACAAAACTATTGGTTCCGGAAAAGCTATTGCAGAGAATCAATAGCGATCAAATAGCATGTGATCTGTTGAAGGCGGAACAGGTACATTTGGACGCTCTAAACGAGCCTGGAGCAAATCACATCTCTGTAGCGCGGGAGCTTACTTCGATCAGAAAACGAGTTCAAGAGTATCCTCCACTAGCTGAGATTGCACGAATCAGAAATACGACGCTGAATCTGGAAATAGACCTAGAGTGTCTTGATATGGCACTCTCTAGAACAAATCTTTCTCGAGAAAGAGTAAAATTTGTCGACTGGTATGTTCCGTCATCCAATACCAAGGATAACCCGCAGATAATATGCTTCGTACGGACATTAGACGGTATGACCCGGACGAAGCAGCTGGTTATATCGGTTACTCAGGTGGAAGCATGGGTTTCTAAGGCCTTCACATACCCCGATATGGCTGAACATCCTCTTAACAAAAAGACGGGCAATCGTCTGCTCCAGGAGATGAATGCCCTTGTCGACTGGCTCACAGATTACTCGGAAGAAGGTGATCTTTTAGTGCTCTCACCATCAGGACAACTAAACAACGTACCGCTACACGCCTTATTTATCGAAAAAAGACCTTTGGTTGAGCGTAATATGGTGGTTTACGCATCAAGCGCGGCGGTCATGAGCCAGTGTCTGGACCGTAGCGCCTCCGCAAGGAATTGCGAAGAACGGGATATAGAAGAAACCACGGCATTTTTCGCAGTGTATGAAGAGCCCCTTCATGCCGACGAGCGCAATCTTATATTCAGTCACATTAAATCGCTTTCAACGATCCTACCTGGCAATGTCTTTCTCGGGCCCGAAGTAACCAAATCGCGTTTTGTTGAGACCTCCTCCACGGCTACATGGTTGCACTATCACGGCCATGCAAGTTATTGCAATGAAGATGTTCTCCAATCATCGCTCATTTTGAGCAATGGAGAGGACATTTTCGATAATAACAATGCGGAAAACCCTCTTCTAGGAAGAGATGAGCTCTCCGTTGTTGACATGTTCAACACTACTATGCCGCAAGGAGGCGTGCACTTCACAATCATTGCCTGCGAATCAGCTGCTCAGGACTTATCTCCCGGAGATGAACCTCTAGGAATCATTCCAGCTCTGCTTCATGCTGGAGCCACTTCAGTTTTAGGATGTCAGTGGCCGATCAAAAGCTCTGCAGGTCGCGCATTTAGCGAAGCCTTTTACAACGAAGTGAAGTATATGAGAAGCACCACCAAAGACGGTGACCAAGCAGTGAACTTGTCCCAAGCCTTGGGCATCACTGTTGGAAAGATGAGACGCGGTGAACTAGGAGCACAGTATAAACAAGCGTACTGCTGGGCTTCGTTTGCGATGCATGGCCTGTGGTTCTTTCCGGATTTCGACAGTGAAACATGAATCATACTCAGAACTACTCAACTTGCTCACACTTCTTTCGTATGTCATATATTCGCGATATACTTAATGAACAATGACCGACGAAAATATCGAACGCCAATCGCCAAGAAGCCGAATGACTTCGAATTGAATGAGTACGTGAGTAGTAATTATGGACTTCGTATCTTCTGCTACGAAGTATCTTCTTGACAAAAAAAACTGTGTGAAATGTTAAGCATTTTTCTGTATATGCTAAGCTGATAGAAGACAGCGCAGTCTGTCCGTCTTTCCGATGTCTTAGGGTTGACTTAATAGAATGCTATAGGCAGCTAGCCTATCAATTTAATGGCCACATACTGTCTCATAGATTGATACCCTCAAAATAAATATGTACTTTAATAAATTTCTAAGATTAAACCTTTTAATTTTCTAGGATAATGCTAATAGGAGAAACTCAAGTTGCGGGCCTAAAACGGACTACGAAGTTCTTTACATAAGAAGGTTCCCTCTCAAAGCCACGATAGGAAAATAAAAACACTAAGAAGTAAATTAAACAGATCCGGTTAAGTTAACTGCCTAAATCATCTACTTGTTCAATATCTCCCCATCAAAGACCGCCAACTGTTTATTAGTTCTTATCAATTTTGAGTCCGCCCAGGGCAACATGTCCCGTATTTATAGCCGAAGTCAACCAACTATTTAGATGCTACATCATGCTGTATTTGGTCAATTCTGATTGACTCTTGTGGAGACGCAAAGAATAAGCTTCAAAGCGCTGAAGAGTGTAATGATGCAATGGCTCGGTTTATGTGCGATGAAACCCTTCTTGCCACACTATGGAGGGCCAGATGAGCTTCATTAAGAAGACTTTTTGGTGTTTGCCCCGACCTCTGACAATCTCCATACCACAAAGTCACTCGTCATCTGACCATGACTACCGAAATTGGACAAACTATCGATTCTATTTACTGATCACTCACATTTGCCACCTCAGCTACGAAGTAAATAGCCCAGCTTGCTCAGAACCAGGCAAGGTAGGCTACGGGCACTACGTCTCTGGGTGACAAGGAAAAGGCTTCAATTTCAGAAACTAATTGCCTCGACTAGTCGTTGGCGTGCCGGGAATCGAGTCTCAGTCCATAGCGGGAGCCAATCAAGTTTCAGAATCAACTCCCATTCGGAAATATTGGACTAGCATCTCAGCTTTGGCCCTCGAAATCAATAAAGTACAATTAGGACAAGATAATAGTGAACTAAGACTCAGCTAGCCATGAAGCGGACGGTTACGAGCCGTGGGGGCGGCATCTTCATAGCCAATAGTGCATATGCCCGAGCAAGGCAATTTTGGATCGTTCGCTGAACCAGGAATGCCTTACACCCCTCTAACTTCTTCGGATACGGCGCGCCCAGAATTGGTCCAATGTGCATTTATAGATGAGAGAAGATGATCAATATTCCAGTGTCCCTCCACTCCTAGTATGATATAAAGTATTGGCATACAACTGCCATCTCGGCGTTCTTCGGCTCTGACCCCATCTCCTCAAGACTACAGCCTGCGTTCTTCAGTTTTGAACCTCAATATCTCACACGACTTCCACAGATTAATCACTCTAGTAGGCTTTTTCAGGCAATTAGACGGACTACTCAGATTGCATCACAAAACCCTGACATTGTCAAGACACTGGTACTCAATCTGAGTCACGATTTCAACGGTGTTGCCACAAACGGCGTAACAGGAGATAAATCTGCGGACCTCAGCGGCTTACTAGGCAGCATCTTTCACGTTTCTAATACCAGGACCTTTGTTCTCGCTGGGAAAGCCTTGTCTCACGATCTTCGCCTCGACGCAGCTTTTTTCCAGTCTCGGAGCCCTACCGAAGAGGTTACTGGGGCCCTCAATTCGTTCGCCCGCTTTTGCCGTTTTCACCCCAGCCTCACATCAACCATGTCCACTGCTGCTGGTGCCTTGGGCACAATTCCTTCAGCATATCCCGGAACACTCATTTCCAATATTCTCGCTGGTGTTCCTCTATTGGCCGGCACGGCGCCATTCTCCTCTAACCATCCCAGCAGCGGGATGCTGAATGGTATTCTGGCAAACGCTCGACACAGCATGCTGGAAATGCTCGACAAGACGCTCGCTCTAGTATCAGTCTCCGAGCAATGGATGAAAAACATCCCTGGCGTGCCCACAAAAAAGGAAGAGATCGCTCAGTGCGCAGCCTTTCAGAAACAGGCCCTAATCTCTTGCAGAATGGCCATGGAGAATTCACGTCTGGCCAACAACGCCTTCATGGACTTCAATGGGTGTGCCAGAGAGGAAATAAGTCGTCTTGAGGGCGAGATTACTTTGCTGAAAGACAGAGCCTTGAGCGTAGAAGCTCAGTACAATCAGGAGATTAAGCAAAAGCGCCCACCTCAATTCGCGGTGTTTCAAACCTTGGGACTTACTAATGGCCCGAAAATCGACACGCTTGAAACGCAAAGGGACTCTGAAATAGTTAAACTCAGAAATCAGATCATCAAACGCACTCAGGACTTGCAAAGCGGCAACCAATTCATGGCAAATTCAGGGTTGTGGGTCGAACTCTGTGAGCGGACAAGTGGTTATCTTGGGTCTATTTACAACATTCTCACAGTTATTGGATACGACATTGATACCGATGCCGTTACATTTACGGACCTGGTGAGCATCCAGTGGGATCAGATTCGCAAGGAGGCTGAGGAGGTGAAGTCATTTCTGCAGCCTAGTAATGGTGCTACGGACATGATGGGTATGAATGTCGAAGTCACCGACATGTAAGCGAATTCGACGCTCGTACATACGTGTATTGTTTTGCCAGCTGCAGCCTTGCTTCAGCAGCGATGCACCCAAACTAAGAACCCTACTATCATATGCCGCAACATCAATTAGCTAGATGTACAGAGAATCACGTACACTGATGGCATTGCCGAATACCTTGACAACGTCTCCAACCGCAAAATCACCATCTATATCATCAACGGCATTCGAGAAGCGTATTTGCAAACAGCCACCCTGCACTATGACACCATCGAGTAAATCAGCATCGTGACCATATCGCACTGAAGACTGTATGCGTCTAGGTAAAGCCGGAAGTGATGAGAGCGAGTGGTGTATGGAGGGGAGGAGTGAAGATGAATGTGCTCAACATTGTGGACTGTCGTGTTTCTCTGACTAGAATTTGAAACAAAAATTTGCTCTTCAAGCTCGTATTAGTACGGGTTGTCTGGAAAGAATTACTGCTCTCACGAAGTACCTGTCTGAAGGAAGCCACAGGGATATGAACATTTATGGGCAGAGACTATGCGCGCCGAACCACTTTGCAAGAGAACTAGAGTGAGCTAATGTTGGAATCCGGTAACCATTTATCTCAAGAGGTGGCTACCGGGATATTGGATATAAACATGCACTGGTTTGATAATATATTGAACAATGAAGTACTGATCGTTATCTTTGCACATTGATATGGTACCTCTATGAAGCGCTCTAACTTAAGCAATGTCCTCAATATCGCAGTCTAATCTACAGACAAAGAGGCAGCTTATTCTGCAACTTGGTTAGATAACTTCCAAGAATATTAGAAGCTTTCCAGATCACATCAGGATACTGCCGGCCACGAATCTGGTAAGCTGGCTACTTGATAGGTCGAGTACCCACAAGGATTTTCTCTCAGAGTATGTATAAGAGCATCGGGCAGCAAATATGTTCCATCTACATAGCTGCAGCCTGATCCAACCACATACGAGCGGGGTCGAGACGGCTGCCATATTTTCTTATTTTTGCTCATTTCATCTCTCCCATGTTTTTGTTGTAGAGTCTCGCTAAAGTTCTACGATGAAGCTCACTGAGCTCAATTGATAACATTTTGATTCCCCAGCGAACATGTCGAACCCGGAAAATTACACAGTTGGTTGGATCTGTGCCATCAGCACCGAGCGTGTCGCCGCCGAAGCTTTTCTAGACGAGAAGCACGAAAGTCCTGAAGATGTTTCTGTCCATGATAACAATGACTACGCTCTGGGGAGAATGGGAAGACACAACGTGGTCATTGCCGTCCTACCTGACGGCGAGTATGGAACAGCTTCTGCAGCTACTGTTGCGAGAGATATGTTGCACACCTTTCCGAATATTAGAATTGGCTTGATGGTGGGCATTGGCGGTGGTGCACCAAGTGCCGACCACGACATCCGCCTGGGCGACATTGTTGTCAGCGCGCCTCGTAACGGCAAAGGAGGTGTATTCCAATATAACTTTGGGGAAACGATGCAGGATCAAGCATTCCAACAAACCGGATTCTTAGACCAGCCACCAATAATCTTAAGGACGGCCATCGCCGGGCTTAAAGCGCAATACGAGGCTGAGGGTCATGAGTTTGAAGAAACGATTGATGGCATTCTTGCCAAAAAGCGAAGGCTTCAGAAGAATTATAGACGGCCAGACCCGAGTAGTGATAATTTATTCCAAAGCGAAATAGTCCATCCGCCAGATGGAAGAAGCTGTGCAGCGGTTTGCCTCGATAATCAGACCAATTTACAGCCTCGACATAAACGAACAGAGGACGATGATAATCCAACAATTCACTATGGCACCATCGCTTCGGCAAACCAATTAATAAACAATGCGAAGTTGAGGGACAGGCTTGCAGCCGAGAATAATGTGCTATGCTTTGATACGGAGGCTGCAGGGTTAATGAATCACTTTCCTTGTCTGGTCATCCGAGGAATTTGTGACTACTCAGACTCGCACAAAAATTCAGATTGGCATGGTTATGCGGCAATGACGGCTGCTGCATACGCCAAAGATCTTCTCATCCGAATACCCCCCAGGAAAATTGAGTCTGAAAAAAGGATCACTGATATAATCATGAGAGGTGAGCTCTCAGTCTATTCCTTTTCGGTAAGATGCACTGCTAATAGAGCAAAGTTGACGAAAAGATCACTGAAGTCGATGAAAAAATAAATGATATCAGCCAAAGTCTCATGTTTATCAAGCTTCCAGTTGCGGAAGGGGCTGCATTTGACTCCCACGCCGAAGAGCACAACCCGACTTGCTTACCAGATACGCGAGTTGAGTTACTCCAACATATCGTGAGCTGGACTCAAGATCCAAGCGCCAAGTCCATTTTCTGGCTAAATGGGATGGCTGGAACAGGAAAGTCAACTATTTCACGCACCATCGCCAAATCTCTTGTCAGAACCGGTCATCTAGGCGCCAGTTTCTTCTTCAAGAGAGGCGAGGGCGATCGGGGAAGCTCGACAAAGCTATTCACAACTATAGCCGCTCAACTGGCCATAATGCAAACCGAAATCGGGACTCATGTCAAGGATGCAGTCAAATCAAATTCTGACATCGGCAACAAAGGGCTACGAGAACAGTTTAACGAGCTCATCTTACAGCCTCTATCCAAGGTTCCTCCAGATCAGAGAAAATCAGTCTTTATCGTTATAGTCATCGATGCCCTAGATGAGTGTGACCTAGAAGATGACGTTAAACTTATCATCCGTCTCTTCAATCATGACAAAAGATTGGGGCTAAGAATCTTTCTCACTAGTCGGCCGGAGCTCCCAATTCGTCTAGGATTTTCTGCAATCCAAGGAGTATTTCAAGACGTAATTCTTCATGAGATATCTGAGCCTGTGATTCAGCATGATTTATCGGTTTTGATAAAACATGAGCTACAGATAATTCGAGACAACTATAATAACACAGTGCAAGGATATCGACAGTTGAAGAGAGACTGGCCTGGCCAATCCAGTATTGATACTATGGTTAAGATGGCAGTTCCGCTTTTTATTTTTGCCGCCACTATATGTCGGTTTCTTGCCGACCGCAAATGTGGCAACCCTGATGATCAACTTCGCAAGGTCCTAGAATATGAAACCAAAAGCCAAGAGTCTAAACTCGACGCGACCTATCTACCTGTCCTTAATCAACAGATCGCCGGGCTTACTGCAAAGGAGCGAAACGAAGTGTTGCAGCAGTTCAAATACATTGTTGGCAGCATTGTGCTCCTGGCAAGTCCTTTATCGACATCCAGTCTATCACAGCTCCTAGAAATTTCTATGGATGTCATTGATACAAGATTAGATATGCTTCATTCCGTCTTAAGTATACCGCAGTCATCTGAGACTCCAATAAGACTCCTGCATCTATCTTTTCGCGACTTCCTTGTTGATCCTGAGAAGCAAGGGCTGAACCCGTTTTGGATCGATGAAGCAGAGACTCATGCAAAAATAACAGACAACTGTCTGCAAGTCATGAAAGGGTTCCTTCGAGAAGACATGTGTAGCTTACGATTACAGGGACTGGAAAGTTCCACAGTTGACCGTGAAAAGGCAGCTACATGTATTCCTGCCGCGATCCAGTATGCATGCTTAAATTGGGTATTCCACCTTCAAGGAGCAAATTATGGGGTCGAAAACCATGCAAAAGTACTTCAATTCCTGGAAGAACATTTTTTACATTGGGTTGAGGCATTGAGTCTGATACAGAAAACACCAGAGAGTGTTAAGATGATTGCAAGCTTACAAGGACTTATACCGGTAAGTTTTCTTTTCTTTTTTTCTCAATAAAACTAAGCAAAAGTCTACGATATCAAGTGGTTAACTTGATGACAGATGAAGAGTAACAAGCAGCTCTCTGGATTTTTATATGATGCTCTGCGTATCCTTCAGTCAAATTTACAACTAATTGCCAGTGCACCCCTTCAGATTTATTCTTCAGTCCTTCTATTTGCCCCGAGCGAGAGTATCGTGAGAAACCTGTTCAAGGAGAGAATGCTCAAGTGGATATCCCTCGAACCGAAAGTAGAGCGCAGTTGGAGCCAATGCATCAAGACACTGGAGGGTCATCAGGGTTGCGTTAGTTCCGCGGTCTTCTCTCCCAACTCATCGCTTATAGCATCGGCGTCAAAAGATAAAACTATTCGACTATGGAATGTTAATACCGGCGAATGTATTGAAGAATTCAAGGGCCATAGCGAAAGCGTTAAGTCGGTGGTCTTCTCGCATGATTCTTTATCTGTGCTATCAGGCTCACAGGATACGACTGTCCGTCTGTGGTGCATTGATACGGGTGAATGCGTCCATACATTCGAGGGCCATAATTCCTCAGTTATATCCGTGGCTTTTTCGCGTGATTCGTCATTTGCAGCATCAGCATCATCGGATAATGTTATCCGGCTATGGCGTGTTGACACGAGCGAGTGTGTCCATATACTGGGCATTCCGGGTAAAGATGGTGATCATCAGATCTCTTGTATGACCTTTTCACATGATTCATCGATTCTGGCATCAACCTTTGGTTATATGGTTCCCCAGCTATGGGACACGAATACCGGCACGTGTGTACGGGCGCTTTTTAGCTGTGATGCATCACAACCTTACGACGGTGCTTCGCTGGCTTTTTCGCATGATTTATCACTTGTCGCATCAGCTTCTGGTTATCTCATTCAAGTGTGGCGCACTGATACAGGCGAGTGCGTCCAAGAATTTACAAGGAATCATAGTCATATTATTTGTATAGCCTTTTCACATGATTCATCTCTTATGGTATCAGCTTCATATGATGAAACTATTCGACTGTGGAACGTTAAAACGGGCGCGTATTTGAGAAAGTTTACAGGTCATAGCCTTAGCGTTACATCTGTGGCTTTATCGCATGACTCGACAATGATAGCATCATCCTCAGAAGATGGAACTATTCGGCTATGGCACAACAACTCAGATAACGATGTCCAGAAATTCGATGACTATAGCAATAAGGTTCTCCCGCTACAGCGTTCCGAAACAAGCAGCAACATCCAAGAAACTACAGGGCATAGCGATTTCATAGGTAATATGACCGTTTCTCACGACTCATCGCTCGTGGCAACGTCTTCATACGACGGCACCATCCGAATATGGCACGTTGAGACAGGAGACTGCGTACGAGAACTCAGGGGATGGCGTGTGTCTCGGGATTCTCTGCAAGAAGAATCGCTTATGGAGCATTATCACATCATTTTCTCACATGATTCAGCATATCTGGCTATCGGTACACTCTACGAAAATTGTCTCTGGATATGGAATGTTAGTACAGACGAGCGTGTCCACGAGCTCTTATATGACGGGTACACGCCGTATGTACATGTAGCCTTCTCACATGATTCATCACTTATAGCATCAACTTCAAAGGGTACCATCCCCTTATGGAGCGTTGATACAGGAGATTGTGTCTTTGAACTCGAAGCTAAAAATACCAGTGAGTTTTTGGCTTTCTCACACGATTCATCACTTATAGCATCGTCTTCAAAAGATATGATCCAGTTGTGGAGCGTCAACACGGGCGAGTGTATCCGCAAAATCATGAGGGGCGAATTTTCCTTTATCGTGGTGGCCTTCTCGCATGACTCATCACTCATCGCATCAAGCTCTGTTGACGGCGCCATCCAGTTATGGCGTACGAATACTGGCGAGTGTGTTCACGAATTTCACACGCTCAGAGGCGGCATAAAGGATATGTCATTTACACCTGATGGTTTACATCTGGTAACAGAATTCGGGGCGCTTATTACGCTCCGTGAGCAAATTATCCGTTTTGATGGCTATGGATTCAACAAAGATTACTCGTGGATTACATGGAATGGCGATAACCTGATCTGGGTACCTATAGAATATCGGCCGTCCGGCGGGTACTCCAACGTTGCAAGTAAGGGAACACTAGCTGTCGGCTGCATTTCAGGGCGAGTTTGGATTATGAGGTTTTCGGCATATCCTCATTCTGATATCAAACAGAGATTCTGACAAGTGAGTCTTGTATCTACGCAAGGATCCAGTTGTATACAATCTAACGCAATAACTACCATTGGCTGAAGGAAGGGTTTGTGCTTCAAAGATTATTCAATAGCCGGATGTAGTTTTCAATTTGCCAAATCACTGCATCCACTGAGCGCATATAACCGTCGACAATATTAGAAACAATATCAAGGTCCTAGAGCTCAGCAGCAAAGAGATGTCATGGCTAAACTGCAGACATTCAAACCATCCCGTTGAATCACACAGCGTGCATTGAGTAAATCCTGTATATACCATAATAAGGACGCCGTCATTCAACAAATCGAAAGTGGAGTCACATCCACCAAATCCTCCATCCGGATTGGCTTCCGTAGCTCAGTTGGTTAGAGCTTCGTACTAATACTTTCAAAGTCTCACGACTGCAAAGCCTTGGTAATGCGAAGGTCGCAGGTTCAAGCCCTGCCGGGAGCAATGCTCACCAGCCGCCGTTCGGATGGGATTTCTTTTTTGTTTTTTTTGCGAGTTACTTTATACATCTCTTTCCCATTAGGCCTCCTCTGTTTTACACATCTATGGAATAAAAGGGTTGTTTGTCGAGGTTGGAAGCGCGTCCCTAATTATCCATTTTTCTTCTCCTCCACTTACACACGATATCAACATATAGAGCTGCCTCACATTCACCCTTTCTTAATTAACATTTCACAATGGCTGGCTATTGCACTAAAGGACCAAACTTTTTATCATTTCAGCAATTCAATAAATGAAACCGAGTACCAACGTGGCATGAATAAAGGACACTCCTCATAGTATACACCAGTCCAATCTGTAGACACCATACTGTAAAAAGAAGCGAGATTACACACTCTGGTTTTGGCACCGCTTTCGTACCAAAGTAAAATGATAATGAAGATGGGCTGAACAGGGTAGCTCATCGAGTCAAGATTTAAAATTAGCGGTGGGAAGTGGGACGAGAAGTTGCAAATTATTTCATGTTTATTTTTTCTATTAAGAAGCATCCAAGCCCGGCGCTCGCGTGCTGGCCTCGAAGCATCAAGTAAATCCAGCTTGATGAAGCCAAGGCATTATCTAAAAAGAGTATCTATAAAGCTAACAAAACAGACTATCTTGAAACCCGCCAAGCCCGCCAACCAAGTGAGCGTCCCTCCCCCTCGTCGGGAAGATGAAGGACGTCTCACAGTGGCTCTGGAGTGGCAGGCTGGCTGCGTTGGGAGCAGTCAACAGCCTGTCCACTCTGAAGGGGCTAAGCGGGTCGGTATAAGATATACCTTTTAATCAAGATAGTAACTTCCAACATCCACAGACTTTTTGCTACGTAAACCTGCGGTTTCTATATCTACACATGCTGTTGCAAGGATTCAAGGCCTCGGGGCTTTAGCCGAGGTAATTATACAAGACCTTTAGTACTCATGCCATTAAGCGGTTCCGTTGACAGTGCCGTTGGCTTCATTTCTGAGCTGGCAGACCTCCTTGGTAACCTCGTCGAGGCATCCGATGGCGGCGGCTACCAGACCAAGGATGGGGAGGGAGGGGCTAAGCGGCTGGCTGATGTACTCCGGGTGGTATTGCACACCGACGAAGTAAGGGTGGCTCTTGATCTCAATGATCTCCATACGTCTGCCGGTATCGTCCTTGCCGACAAAGGACAAGCCAGCCTTCTCAAACTCGTCAACAAGGGCAGGGTTAACCTCGTAACGGTGTCGGTGGCGCTCATCGACAGTCTCCGCGTTGCCGTACATGGCTCGGAGCTTGCTGTCCTCGCTGCCAGGCTGGAAGTGCGTGGTGCGCAGGCCGAGTCGCATGGTGCCGCCCTTGGTTTCCTTGGAGCCCTCGGGCATGAAGATGACGGCGGGGTACTCGGCATTCTCGTCAAACTCTTCAGAGGTGGCGTTGGCATGTCCACACACGTTGCGGGCAAACTCGCAAACGGCCAGCTGCATACCGAAGCAGATACCCAGCCAGGGGGTGTTGTGCTCTCTGGCCCACTGGGTAGCCTTGATGATACCTTCTGTGGCTCTCTCGCCGAAGCCTCCGGGGATCACCACACCAGACGCCGAGCAAACATCGTGCCAGGCCTTGTGGTACAAGGCGGGGTCGGCCTCCCGGGTGGACTCCTCGAGATGCTCAGAATCAACCCAGATCAGGTTCAGCTTGCGCTTACAGTGGATAGCCGCGTGTTCTAATGATTTGTAGAGACTGAGGTAGCTGTCGTGAAGTTCGACGTACTTGCCAACCAGGGCAATGTCGATCGTCTCGGTGTAGTTCTTTGAGATGACATCCTTCCACTTTTGCCAAATTTCGGCACCCTTCTTGACTTGGGCTGGCTCAGGGGTGAGCTTGTCCAGCATCAAGATCGACTGCAGAACAGTGATCAGGCCCTGCTCTTTCAGAAGGACTGGCACCTGGTAGACTGTGGGCATATCTCGGACGGCAATCACCTGCTCAGGCTCGACCTGGCAGTGAAGGGCGATTTTGTTGATGGTATCTTGATCAAGAGGACGTTCACAACGGCAAGCAATCTACCGGGGTCGTTAGCTGAATACCGACTAGGCAAAAGGTAGATTTAAGCTCTTACCAAGTCGGGAATGAGACCAGCACTCCGAATTGTCTTGACGGCGTGCTGAGTGGGCTTGGTCTTTTGCTCGCCGTTGATGACGGGAACATATGAGACCTGGATGTTGATAAAGTTGCCCTTGCCACACTTGTGTCGGAGCTGTGTAAGCGCCTCGACGAAGGGCATGTTCTCGATATCGCCAACTGTGCCACCCTGTAGTCGAAGGTTAGAAGGAGCGCAAGCATAAGGACTGGAAGAGAGTATATACAAGCTCAACTAAGCGGTTGTCAGCGAGTGTCCAGTATAGCTTGTGACAGCGGATGCGGATGTAACATACTAATGCAGACATCAGGCTCGGCGCCCGACTCATCGATGGGGATTCTGGCGACCCGCTCAATCCACTCCTTAATGAGGTTGGTGACGTGAGGGACGACCTGGACGGTACGGCCCAAGTAATCTCCACGACGTTCCCTCAAGCCGACCTCCATGTTGATCTTGCCGGTGGTGATGTTGTGGTCTCGGGAGAGGTTGATGCCCAGATATCTCTGGTAATGTCCAAGATCCAAGTCACACTCGCCACTGGGACACCAAGAGTCAGTTTTTACCCCATGTAAAAGTTTTCTCCCTGTGCTCGAGATTGTCGACTCCGGTAGGAGATGCTTGTCGTTGGCTGCCAGAATCGTTTTGGAAAAGGTAACAAGGGGCTTAGAAAGCTGCTTACCCGTCGTCCAGAACGAAACACTCTCCGTGATCTTTCGGGTTCATAGTTCCAGCATCAATGTTCAAATAAGGATCGATTTTCTACCGTCATCGTTCAAGTTAGAGGCCGATTCTTGACTTTATAAAGCGATTCCAGGGAAGTAATGCTCACGATGCAGGTGACACGCAGGCCGAGCGTCTTGAGAAGCTATTCGGGCGGTTAATATTCGAAAATCCGAGTCCCGCCATGGACGAATTCTAGAAGCATACCAGGCCCGTGGACGAGGCAATAATGCCCTTTCCAACACCTAGTAAACCGTTAGCAGACGTCAGATTATTGTTTTGGGTACGGTGCAGTACCGGAGATGACTCCGCCCGAAACGAGAATGTAACGCATGGTGACAAGAACTGTTCGTCAATATCGATGAGGTACAGGGATAGAATGACGATGACAGCGCATGTGAAGGTTTTAACAAGTTTGGAACTTTTTTTTTTTCCTTCTAATCGCGGACAGCAGGTCCGTGCACAGCCCCGCATCTGGCAGGTGGCCAATGATGCATCCGCGTATGGAGCTCCATCCGGTAAATCTGCACACACCGCCCGGCAGTATTTGGAACGTCTGCATATGCATGCTCTTAGTGTATCCGAGCACGCTTTTGCCCGACTGCCGCGTAGAATCATGTGAATTGCATAACCTCGATATCGCATGGCTCACAGCTTTATTGACTCTTATCATGCATGTGATGGTTCCTCTGGTCATTCTGGATTCAGCCAAATGACACCGGATGAGTCTGTTGACTTCTCGGCCGAGTCGGGGAATTACAATCAGGGATTAACACCTGCCAACCAGGGTCGCTGCGGCTACCCGGGCCTCATACGCTCTATACATGCGCCATACAAGTGGTTGCGAAAACGTTTGCAGAAAGAGGCATCTGAGATTTAAATGGTTTATTATTCAACATATTGTTTGTGCTTAGAATATTGTTTGCGTTTCAAATCTTCCCCATCCTCCTTTTAAAGGTATCATCTCTCGTCATCGCATCTATGCCAGAAGCTTCGCTTATCCAAATTCGTATGTCCCCCCAAATTATCTTCTATCGGCATTTAGAAATAAAAAATGCACTTCATTATTTATCCTTCAAAAACTCCTGTAACTCCTCCATCTCTCCACTGTGGTATATCATGTCGTAAAACAAGCCTTTAGAATTGTACAAGTCTCGGGGAGAACCGTATCTATCGAAAGTTAGCAGTTATGCAACGAAATAAGCGCCGTACCGCTGGAGATATGGCTACTTACTCTACTACTTTGCCAGCGCCCATCACGACCACGGAATCATAATCGATAATGGTCCGCAAGCGATGAGCAATCGTCACAAGTGTGCGGTCTCCGCCTGCAGATTCAAGTTCGGTGCGTAGCACTTGCTGAATGCCCTTGTCCGTTTCGTAGTCCATGCTGGCGGTAGCCTCATCTAGCAGCATCAGCTTGCTCTGGCGGATAAGCGCACGGCAAAGAGACAAGACCTGGCGTTGGCCATGGGAAAAGTTCTCTCCGCGGGCATCTACCGGTGTCGACAAAGAAATTCCTTGGGACTGTCCGTGAACAGAGTCATCTACACCGTCGACAACCGTCTCATCAGAAGAATCGTCACTAGAAAATGACGCGATGCCCTTGCAGTTTTCCAACGCCTTCTCGAGAATCGCCTTGGGAATGAGGCTGGTAGGATCAAGATTAGACTCCACAGTTCCGTTGAACAAAGTCGCCTCCTGAGGGATGATTGTGAGACCTTCACGCAACCTGCGCCGGGGAATTTTGGTAATGTCAATCCCGTCGTATAAGATTTGACCAGAGACAATGTGCGTAAACCGCAAGAGAGAAAGAACAAGAGTACTCTTGCCAGAGCCCGTTCGTCCGACGACGGCAACTCGCTCTCCAGCTTTGAACTTGAGATTGACGTCCGTGAGAATGTTGGGGCCATCAGGATCGTATCTAATGGTGACGTTGCGAAACTCGATTTCTCCCGACTTGGGCCAGTTCTTGGGAATAACATGGCTTTCATCATCCGCAAATTCCCCTTCTTCGGCATATGTTACATCGTCTTTACCTTCAGGCTCCAATTTGACATATTCTTTGACGCGATGGAAGCTCTGCATCTCTACCTCAAGGTCGTTCATGGCTCGTACGAGCATGAGAATAGTCTGACTCAACCCGTTGGCATTGTTAAGGGAGAACCCGACCAAACCGGCGCCAACTACTCCAACCTTGGAGAGTGCGATAATGCCAGCAAAAAGAGCGACCACGGAAGTCACAAAGTCTACTCGCATAGCTACCCAACGGTTGCAGTTATAGTTGGCCTCTGCTGCTGCCGACCAAACGCGCAGCTTGGATGCTAGATCGTGGCCAAAAGTTTCACTCATGCCTGCCCTAGCCCTGATGATGGGCAGCCCAGCCAACGTATCGGCAAACTGGGAGAAGACGGGTGACTGTGCGGACGAAGCAAGTCGCTTGATGATGACGGCTGTTCGTGTGTACATCTCACCAACCACAACGCCAAAAATGCAGGTGAAGAAGGCGGGTATCATGAAAATCGGCATAATTGAACTGACGGCGGCAATACGAGCAAAAAGCATCATGATGGAGTCAAAAGTCACCCGGAGCATGGAGCTGAGTCCAGAATCAATCGATGCCATGTCGCCGGAGAACCGATTGGTGATGCGACCGATGGGGATCGTCTTGAACCATGATAAGGGGACTCTCATGACCGCCCGGATGAAGTCATTGTGAAGCTTACGACCAGCACGCCATGCACCCCATTCGAAAGCGATAATGACGAGGCCAAAGGAGATTATCTCGGCAAAGGTGAAGGCGGCATAAATACCCATGTAATAGGCAATGTCCACGTGAGCGTTGTTATTGTAGGCCTCTACCCATATGCCCATCCAATAACTGGACGCGAAGAAGAAGACGTTGGAGCCGGCGAGGCCAACCAAGCAAAAGACGGCGAAGAGCGGGTGTCCAAAGTATTTCATATACTCCAAGGAGGCCAACCGACCGACCTTGCCTGATGCCTTCATTTCCTGATTCACAATGTCTTTGGCCGAGGTTTCGGTGCCCACCTTTGCCGGGTCATTCAGGGCATCTCCACTAGATTGAAGTTCAGGCTCCGGAGGGGTTTCTGTGCCGGTTTCGGTTTCGGTGTCAAGGTCATCATCATCTCCTCCAAGGATTTCGGCAATCTGGATAGGTCTGCGAACTGCACCAATGTTGGCCTCGGCACTCTTGACTTGACCCCTTTCGAGGAGGACGGAAAAGTCTGCCTGTGATGAGATCCAAGGAACTTGAGTGACGAGAACAACGGTCCTGCCTTTGAGTAGATCGCTACAGAAACAGTATTTCCAAACGCCAGCCGAGGTCTTGGCATCGAGAGCGGAGAAAATATCATCTAGAAGCAATAGAGAAGCCTTGGAGTATAGGGCTCTAGCCAAGGCAACTCTAGCTTTTTGTCCTCCAGACAAGGATGTACCATTCTCGCCTACGACAGTCTGGTCGCCGTCAGAGAGCTCCTTGAGGTCTATATTGAGACAGCAAGCTTCAATGACTCTGTCATATCGAGCGCGGTCCATGGGGCTTTGGAAGAGGATATTAGCTTGGATTGTATCATTCTGGAGCCAAGCAGACTGCGAAGCAAAGGCAATGTCGTTGGGCGCGGTGACCTTGCCGCCCTCTAGATGCGTTTCACCTAGGATCGCGAGCAGAAGGGTACTCTTCCCGCTTCCACTTTGGCCGGTAACGACGTTGAGACCACCTTCGACAAAATCTAGCGAGATGTCCTCGAGGCGGAAGGTGGCCTTCTTGTTCCGACGGAACGAAGCGCCTTCGATTCTCAGGGGTCCAACGGGATATCGGAGGAGGGGCACAGTACTATCGAAATACTTGTCGAGCCGGTTGAAGGCTACGCTTGCGGCAGCAAAGTTTCTTGAGAAAGCACTGGCCATCATGATGTTTCTACGGATGTTCTTGACGAGGAAGGCGGCAGTAAAGGCGGTAGAAGCGTCAAGGGGATGCTTTTCTACCCCGACGTGCAATCCAAGCATGACGAGGAGGCCGATGTACGGAAAACATTGGGTAACTTGGTTGACCATGGTCTGCAGGACAGCCACTCGCCACAATTCCTTTTGTTCGGCCGCCCTCGACTCGATGATTCGGTTCGTGATGGGATCTTCCCAGGCAAAGTACTTGATGGCGCGGATGGAAGCCAGATACTCAGCAACAAGAGAAATGCGTGTATCTTGCGCTTTTCTCACCCGTCTCTGTGCGCCATACATCTGACGGCCCATGTACACGGATATCGGAGTAGCCAACAGCAAAATGGCCGTTCCTACCAGGGATGCCCAGCCCATCATTTTGTAAAGGCCGAAGAGAGATATGATGGTACCTGCAGGAACACCCGTGGAAACCAATATGACATCTCGTGCTCGATAGACAGCATCCACGTCAGCGGCCATCAAATTTGCCAAACGTCCAGCAGACGTCGATTTCTGGGCGCCCTGCGCCTCTTTCTCCTTGTCGGCTTTTCCTCCTGCCTTGAGATCAAAGGGATCTTCCTCCAACTCCATGGACTCCAAGGCCCTGTGATATAGCTCCTGAGTCATGGCAGATTTGACTCGAACAATCAGTCTGGTTGAGTTGAAGACGTATTGCTGAAACAAAACGGATCGAGACAAGGGCCCGACAAACATGAGAATAAGCCATACAACCGGATGATATTGGGCACCACTAGGGTTAGCGAGATAGTCGAGTAGACGATACATGCCATACGGGGAGACGTTTTCCAGTGTAAAAGCGGCGGCAGCCCACGTGGCCATCAGTAACAACTCCTTGCGTTGAAATTTCACGGCTGTCCACAGAGTCTTCTTGTAGAGCGCCCGGGCCTTCTTGATCTTCTGGAGTAGATACATGGGCTCATCATACCAGGCTAGCGTTGGGATACCAGACATGTCAAGCTTTCGTCTAGTGCCCTTCCATACGAGGGGTGTCAGCCACTCATAAGTGAAGTAATAGTTAAACCAGCTGCAGGTCTCTTCAGGAGCAGGATCATTTTGGTCCGTGTAGCCCGGAATATCATGCTTGATGGTAGGTGGTACCCATTCTCGGGGAGTAACCAATGCGACAATTACGGCCGCGCCCAACGAGACCAGGCAGCCAACGATGCCGGCATCCCCAACACATTGATCCGTGCCAATCTCAATACAAGGAAGCAGCTGTGCGGCTGCTAGAACGAAAAACGTGGCAGTCAGGACATAGTTGATTTGGTGAAGAACGAGATGGCGCCAAGCGAGATCATGGCTGATGGGTCGTATCAAGCCGAGAACAAAGGCGTAGGCAACAGCAACAACGTTGAGCAGATGCACTCTGCCCTTGATGAGAGCCGCCGTCAAAAAGACCAGCGAAGCGATGCGGGCGGCTTGCGACACAATTTCGTAGGGCCATTTAATCGACGATGCCTTGGACCTGGTAGTTGGCACGGAGCTCTTGCGATGCCGAATAAGACGAAAAGTCAGCCAAGCCGCCGAAGTGGCGAGAATCGCACCCTGAAGAATACCAGACCGAGCAAACTCAGAGACGCGACCTATCCATTCAGTCTCAGAGGTATCGATGCCGAGGCTGAGAATTGCAGAGGCATATTGTCAGCGGGAGAAACCAGACGGAGGTTGGGGGAAATCAAGTATCGGATGTATTTCATCACGCAAGAAACGAGAGGCGCACGCCATTGTGCCATCCAGACAGCGAAATGCTGACCAGATAAAGCTTCCATGGGATACACGTACCGACTTAGAAAGGTGGGAGGTTCCCGAAACAGCAGCTCGTCTGTACTGGGCGTGAGCAGCTGCGTGCCAAGGCGGGATAAGACGACGTCCATGGTGCCGTCATCCAGAGGTTCGCCTTTGCTGGAAAGAAGGCTGAAGCTGTAGAAGAAGAATTAAAAGTGAGGAACAAAGAAACGGTTCGAGTTGGAGTAGAATCATGGAATGTACCGAGCGCAGCGAGTGGGTCCTCCCAGAAGGGTCAATCCATGGATGGCAAATTCGCCCAATTAGACCCCTGTAGCCGGCCCTGTGGCATCACCGCTCGTAGGCCTCTGCGGCGCTGTAGGCCCTGCATCAGAGGGTGTCGCAATCCCTGTTGGCGAACTGCAACATGCACCGCGGCTGCAAAAATCCCTGCGCTAGCCCCCCCACAGTTGACCGATATGGGGACATCGGATGCAGTCGTCCTGTCGGCGCTTCGTATCTTACAGTCAAATGCCGTCCATTGTTAATAAGGGGGGGCCTATGAGAAAGCGGACAGCTTGAGGCTCTCACCGTTTCTTCAAGCAGACGCTGGGATGGTGAACAAACCGAGCACTCGGCCCATGCTCTGGACCCTTGGGAGAAATGCGGTCAACAAGATGCCACGGATAAGAGGTGATGATGCTCTCTTCCAGACTAGGCATGTCTCATACGATTGCTGCCATTGACTAATGGCGGGTAAATGCCAGCCCTGATATCAAATCTAATAAATTAGTGAGACTTAGTAGGACGGCAAGCCGAATAAATCAACTTCGGCGAGCCAAAAACGTCGGCGCCGTGTCGTCCTTATGCGGTTCAAGCGGCATCGGCAGAGCTGCAACCACCGGAGGGTCAAAAAAGGCGCGCGCCCGGCTGGTCCAATTGCGTGTCAAGCGGCCATCCTTTTCGGAGGTTTGGGTGGCTGCCTTGATAGAAGTCTCACATATGGGTGTGATGTGCAGCATCGCAACCAACGTGAGTTCTGGTAGATGAAATCGAGCGTCGAGAGCAACAGGATAACATGCGGTCTGTAGATGCGTGAACCGGTCGGCATGCCGTATCCCAAGCCGGGTGGTCGGACAGAGAGAGAATGCCAGCTCCGGAAAGTCGAGCCCTGGCTAGCCCATGTCGCCCTCCAAGGAGTCTATCGCGTGCTCGGCAACTCGGGTATCTGGCGAATGTTGTCTTGGCTCGCCAGGAACACTATTGGCCATTCAGTTGAGTCATTCATCAAAGTCGGAATAGTATATATGAAGTCGCAACACCACAGTCCTCCCGACGTCTACGAGGACGCCACACAACACTGAGAGTGCGTTTGCAAGGCCATTGGAACACCAATCCACTCACACTTGGACTGTCTCGCAGGTCGTCCATCAACCATCGAAGCTAATATAGCCTACAACAGGCAACGACGGAACCAAGGCCGTAATCCTGGCATCTAAGCCACACTCTGTCCCCGCAATGGATCGGATCGGAGCCGTATCGGCAAAGTATTATAGCACGTTTGATGGTGTTGTGTTTGAAGGTTCAACGATTATGTGTGCAATAGCAAAAGACACATGCCACTGCCTCACAAAGATGAACGATATAAGATGGATGATCAGTCTGAAGCTGAAAATGGTTTGGTGTTGAAAACTGTAGCGATGTACTCGCTGTACCTCTACCTGTAATTTATCAGTGTACTACAAAAAGGGCAGGCGCAACCAGCCCAGCTTTTCATCTCAATCCCAATTCCTCCACACAAAACTCGTCTCGTAGTTTATCAATCATTCTTCGTTTCGGCTTCAAAACTCTCAGGTGAGAGAAAAGACCAGAAAAAGAAAGAGTCCACATTTGCGACAGCTTTATAGGGCAAGCTAAGTTCGCGCCCTCCATTAGCCACAATTGGTCCAAGCCATCAACTGTCTGTCATTCAGGTGTGCTGGCGCAATGGTAGCGCGCAGTCCTCCTAAGACTGAGGCTCAGGGTTCGAGTCCCTGGTACATCGATGTCTGCGAATGCCTTTTTTTGCAGCATGTGACAATTCTATTGTTATTATTTTTTGCCAGCTGTGTGAACATTTGCGGCAGCATTTTCAATTGCTTTGCAAGGAGGTCTACGAAGTAGTGATCAGCAATGCAGCAGCTAATACCAGGAAATGGTGAGATATCCTGTTTGTCCTCTGAACTAAACATGTACAGTATATACCATTCGTTTCTTTTCTATGTCTCTTGATTCATAAATAGGGTATACCAAAGAGATCAACATCTCTTCATCGCGCTATTCCCTCGTCTGGTTCACCACTCACACTCACAACGCTCGGATCATACGCCATACAGACTGCCGTCGCATAGTCGCCATCATGGCTAATCGAAATCATGGCACTCGCATCCTCATCTTCACCCTCATCGCCCTTGATTCGTGCCACAGGCGGTCCGCTCCCTAGACGCTCCTCGTTTCTGCCACGGCGCTCAATGACGACGTCGTGAAATGTGAGGCGACGGTGGGAGTGAGCCTTGATGGCGGCTTCTTTGGCAGCGAATCTATGTGAGTGCAGCATTCCCAGAGTTAGAAATTCCTTTCATATAAAAGTTTTCTTTCTCATTTCTATAAGAGAAGCAGTGTGCAAGTGTGAGAAAGTAATCTTACCTGCCCGCAACAAACGTAGCAGCCGCCCATCTCTCAGGATCCTGATGAGCAATTACTTCACTGCTCGGCGTTGTCCCAATACTCGGCCGAAAGTGTGTGCTTTCTTTTCTCGAAACAGGCCTATCGATTGGGCGATTCTCGAGACATCGCAGCCTGGGATCCTTTCTCGCCTGTTCTTCTGGAGAAAAGATGCGGTTCACAAATCGCATGCCCCGAGGGCTCCTCAGGATGCCATAGATGCGAGATATCCGGCATATATCCGTTCCGATGTTGAGCGGGAAGGGAAACGGCCTGAGAGGCTTCATCTGCTGCAACACCACATGAAAACTGAACGACAAGATAAAGGTTGATTACAATTATCGACACGAATGACAAGATCAAGATGCATTGTGCAAATGCAGAGTTGCAGTGGAGATGGTCTGCTCTATTGCCACGCCGGGGGTGGCTCCAAGGTGCTTATCGATACGGGTGGCCAAAGCTCACTGCTCCGTCGACGTCATCGATCCGTCAAGGAAAAGTCATAAGCAGAATGTCTCACGGGTGAATGATGCTTGTCTTTACGGAACAAAAGGTCCTTGCTTGGCAGAATGTAGGGATCATTGCATGCAATTATGAAGGAAGATTGTATGTTGTGTAACCAAGTGAACGCGGATCTGAGACACAGCCAGAACCGACCGATGCTACCAATTACGAGTACAGGACTGCAAATACCCTAATCTCAACTTAATTTCGTACGCCGAACCAAAACATGGCGATAAGCCCCTTGCCAACGCAGATCCACAGATCTGTGGTGCTACTCTCCCCTACGTCACATCCATCGACATCGAGACTCTTTTTGTGATTCAGCAAACAGGCTTTTCGGGTGATTCTGTCTGCTGTGAAACAAGCATCTTCTCACCGCCTCTGGGTTCACGGAGTCGGCGAGGAATTGATGGGCTTGATTCCACCTTAGGCGGCTGACTCGTTGAGCAGCGGCGCGCGTTCCTCGTCTCTGCTCGTGGTTCGCCTCCATCTGACGTCTCTGCCCGACATGGCTGGAACAGCAACGGTGGCTGTCGAGATGAAGAGAACAGCCATGATGACAAAGGCAAAGATCCACTGGAAAGCAACCACCTGGCGCTTGAACTGGGCGACGCCAATTGCTGCCGAGAGGACGCTGAGAGCAAAGCCCATGGTGTAGTCCTGGATTGTGATGATCAGTACCCGATGCAAGGGAAGCGATTGAGTAAACATGGCTTACATTGAAGGCAATAATGAAGAAGAATCCGTACACCAGAAGGGACCAGATGAAGACGTTGCCAAAGATTCTGGCCACCAAGCTGTGAGGGTGCGGCACCATGATGGCGCCGTTCCAGTAAATGGCCACAAACGTCCATGCCAACGGGCCTGTAGCAACAGGAACGTGGATGAAGCGCGGGACCGTGTTGTGGCGGAAATACAGCGAGCTGAGGTTGAAGAAGTTGAGAACCAGTATGACCTCGGCGATGTGGAAGTGCGAGTTCACAAAGAGGAAGACGAATACAGAGTGAAGCAAGTTGTTGAGGATGAAGTGGCTGCCGACGCCAGCAGCCGCGGCAACGACGTCGGCACTGCTGGAGAAGAGCGATGTGACGTATCCAAACTGGAGGATGAAGAGAACGACCCTGGATCACAAGTGTCAGAAGGCTTCAACGAGAATTGACGAAGCGATGGCGAGATTTACCAGTAGATGTCAGCGAGGATGTGGTTCATGGTAAAGGCGCTGGGATACAGGTAGTTCTGGTCCCATATGTTCCGGCGGATATGGTAGCCATCATGAGGCTCGTGAACGGCATAGTAGACGGTGACGACGACGGACAACAGCCACGAGAGCAAGGTCAAGATCTTGTATGCGACGATGGAGCCGTTGCTGTGCGTCTCCCTCTTGCTGAAGGGGTTCCCTTTGGTGCCAAAGTCAGCCAGCTGTGTGAAGGACGAGCATTGTCGGAATCATTTGTCTCTTACAGGACTGCCACCCAGCCATGATGTCTGCCTTGTTGTGTCAAACTCGGCGATGCTGCGAATTCGTATGACGACGCGACGCGGCCAGGGTACCGTACCTCGAGTACGAAGGAGGAGAACAAAGACGAGATGCTGGAGAATGAGAAAAAGGTCGATGAATGCTCACAAAGAAACCAATCGTCCCGGACAGTGGAAATTACTTTAGCTGCACAAGACGAAAAAGAGTAAAGAAGGGCAAGCTACTCAAATCGAGGGCTCCGAGTGGTTTAAATACCCCTTGACGCCATAAGCAAACGAGGCGACTGACTGTATACAATGTACATACAACGACACAAAGAACAATCCTCCATTACTCAATCGCCTCACTCTTCATTCGTCCAATTCACTCCAAAAGCTTGACACCCTTGAACTCGTCACCCATTTGCGGGGAAGCATGCAAACTCATCCCGCCACCAAAGCAGAGGAAAAAACAGAGACAAGCCCGCACACGGTGAATCGTCCCCCCTTGTCATACAAGCGCCAAACAAGGCCGCACGCCGATTTCTCTTGCGATCCGGCTCATGACGCGCAGCTCCCGTCACCATTTGCTTGCCTGTGTTCCCCAGCAAATGAAAAAGTACACGCCAAGTCGACAAGGATTCAAGGGGGGGGTGTAAGCATCACGCCCTTTGCCCCATGCTTCCCTTTATACTGTACGACTAAGACACGTACTGTAGCTTCATGGATGCGAATACAAGGGAAGAAAAAAAGGTTTATGCCTTTTGCTTCCCCCCCCCCGCCTTGTCACGATGCTCACCAGCTAGGCCGTCTTTTAGCTCCTCTTGAAGGCGGGAGGCGATGCTCATCGTGGGGATTCGTCTTTGCCTAATGGGTTGATCGTGTCTGTTCTTATTACACGTACTGTGGGGGAATGGGAGCAGGTGACCCCATCGGGCCACGGCCGTGGTGAGCTGAAAGAAGGAAGCTGTTGCTGTTGCATTCATCTGCAGTATGAAGTCTGGCTTCACGATACTGTGAGAATAGAGTGGTGATGCATTGCCAAGCCGACGTTTTAGATCATACGATACCTTGTGTACGCTGCTATTTTGACGATGATCCATGTACCTCTTTTCACATGTTCACACAGGTACTGATGGCATCTCAGCATCGCAACCAGCCTGCTCGAATCCCCCAAATCACAGCACCCGCAAAATGCCTGCACCAAATACCACAAATAGCTAATAGTTCACTAATAAAACCACCGCTAGCCTAGCCGATTGTTGCAAGCATCGCGATTCCAATCGCCGACTCCAACCCAACGAATACGACATGCCTACCCTAAATAGACACGTTTGGAGGCGCCGGCTCATGCATGTCTCTCCTCGGCCACCAACTAACCATAAGTTACATCCTTTCCCCAAGTATAATTCTTGGCATATTGTTTTTATCATGTATAAAAGAGCTGGTGTATGCAACGTTCAAATTTACACAAGACGAGCATAGTGCACGAATTCTATGGCTTCCCACTACGAGTCTCACCTTCAAATGCTTACTCCGTAGAAGTAATATTATATTGCAAAGGCGGCCCTTGATCTCCGCAAACCACAGCACGGCAATGTCTTTTGCTCACGTATCCGATGTTCTCATTGTCTCTGCACGTGGTTTGCTTTGTTGTTTAATATATTCATTTCACTCTATGCCCCGTTAGTTTTGGAACCATGACCGGGCTACAAGGATATTTAGATCATTTTTTTGTTGTGTATTGATAGTTAATCTATAATCCTGAATCGTAAGAAAAGAAAAGAAAAATATTATATTATGGCGAGATAAGTACAACTACTAACCCACTCATGAATGATGGACGCGTCACATACTCCATCAGATGGTCTTGCCTAATGAGCGCCAAAATGAAAAATAAAACCAAAACACCAAATTAACACACATTCTCAGCAAAGCTATACTCCATCACAATGCCAGTCTGTTTTACCATAGCACACGTATCCAACCCAACCCATGGTATAACCAGCATCACAAGTCGACCTCTCCAGACGCTCCATGCTGTCTCGCCAGTTGTAGTTCTCAACGATGGGTATCCAACCACAACCTCTCAATGCTGCCCGGAACATGACCCGACCGCGGCCCTTGGTCAATCCAATCTGACACACCAGCATTCCGGACATGCAAGTTCAAACCAGTGTCCATGGGCGTACCCTCTCCGCCAAAGTCGTGCCAGGCCCGAATCGTCGCCATCCTCCCACTCTCGGAGACACAGACTTCATAGTCTGTCGGGCACCGTGGACAAGAGCAGATGATGCTGACCCCCCTGTATCTTATGGCGTTTTCTATGGCTTCCTCAAGGAGAATAATCTCTCTGGCATTGGGGTTGGCCTGCCGAGCCAACCTGCCTCCCCGCCGTTTCCAGTATTTGGAGTTGATAACGCCCTTGCCAATGACACACAAGTGTGGGCAACTTGGGATGATGATGTTATGGAGGAGAGGCCGAGCAACGTTTTTCTCATCTGTAATAACCCACTCTTCCCGCAAGATGAACCGGCCATTGATAATCCTGGGCTTCGCCGTGTAGGTCTCTCTAATTTGTGGTTGAAACACGCATTCCGTGGTGAAACTGAATCTATGGGGACTCATCAAGCGAGCGAGGTATTCCTGGTGCGAGTTCCCCATGCGAGAGAGCTTTAGAGCAGTCTGCATGTGATTCTGTCGGAGAGAATAACCTCCTTCGCTGATCCTTCGTAGGGAGAGTTGAGCACCACAAGGAGGATCCTGCGGTGTACTTGGCGTATCCGACGTATCAACACGGTGCAGTCTGCAGCATCGTGGACACGCCCAGTGGTCAGGAGAAATAGATGCTAATCCTGCCCAAAATCGAAGCCTATCCTCGGGGGAGAGTTGAGCGAGCGCTTCGTCCCAGTTGCGAGAGAAGACGCACCGCAAGCCACGACCTGTCTGAGAAAGGACGAACTCGTCGTGTAAGTCCATCATATCGATGATATGGCGGAAAAGCTCTGGCGGAAGGTGGAATAATGAATCCATCTTGTCAACATTGCTGTTGCTCACGTTGTTGCCGTTGCACAGCAAGCGACGTAGAAATCGCAAACAGGACGGGATACCACCAATAGATATACCTGATCCGATTCAGTCGTAGTAATCAATATAGAAAAGCAGTTGGCGATATTGGTGTTTCGATGAAATAATAGTTTTCAAGCCGCCAACATTTACAGCACTGGTTCTGGGTAGCTTGATGCGAGACAGATAGTGTGTAAACACGGATATGATTGGTAGCGACGGTAAATACCTCGATGACTGTATTAATGAAGGCTGAAACAGCAGACGAGATGCAAAATCAGTTGAAATGGAAGTTCAAAATGACAGAAGAAGACAGGACCGGGGCTTCTTATGTCTCTATTTTGTCTCAACGTATATTCAAAACACAAAGATGCGCAACAGAACGCTCATATCGTGCACAAACATTCTTATACTTGTTTCAAATCCGTTCAGATCTTTCCAAAAACATAAACCAAGGCTCATTTCCAATCTCTCATACTGATTCACTCTAAGCTAGCAATTCAGTCATGTGCTATTTGAACCACAATACTGGACATCCATCAGCCTGTTTTTGAACGTAAACGTCAGCACCCTTTATGCCCGAAAACACATATTTTGTACCGCCTCATCAGCTATTGAACCGATCCTTCACAATTACCATTGAATTTTCGCCTCTCAGGCTTCTCATACTTTTGGTCCTTCAAAAAGACATTCACCAGCCGCCTTAGCAGAGTGTAACCATGGCGGGCGTCCAATTCTTGGAGTTCCATGCAAATTTACCACAAAAAATGCTTTGAACAAAACAGAATTCGTATTTCAGTAGGTACGTATTATTACACCACACACACTTAATTCCAGCCTTTGAATAGGAATCGTGAAGCCATCATAGAACAGAGATTAGGAAAAGAGTGATGTAGCACGTATGGAAAAGTAAGAGGAAATCATGCAAGCAATCATGTCTTTGCTCCAAATTATTCTTCGCACCATCTCCTAGAAATAAGAATGAGGATCAAACAATACAAACATTAGCAAGAGGAATCCAGCAATATCATGTTCAGCCATCCACATAATCATCAAATATAATCACATATCAGCCGCTCGTCAATATAAATAAAGGCCATCCCAAAGCACCACATTCATCCATCCACACATCAATCACCAAACTCCAAGTGTACAACAAACATAATCTAAATCATAAAAAAAACATATATATGCATACCTCTAAAACTACCAATCAACAAGTCTCATCTCAGGGTATCCGCATAATCTCATCTAAGCAGCATCCCTTCCATAGCAAAACAAAACAAAAAAAAGGACATAAATTACCACCGGCTAATCATCTCAAACCTCAAAAACGTCATAGCCCATAATCCCGTCATCTAATCTTCCATCTTCATTCATGAATCCGTCACAAGTCTCTCATTCTCATCCAACAACCCCGTAACCTTGCGTAAATTCTCGACCAAGCTCCTGCCCAAGCCAACCAAGAGCAACTTCTCCGCATTCGCCGGCAGACCAAGATACGTAGGGGGCTCACGCTCAGGAAGCTTGTGCACCCAGGCCAAAAAGTCTTGCAGACCCGTGCCCGATGGAACAAGGAGAGGGTCATCTCCCTCCACCAGCTTGTGGTCGGAGTCGTAGGCAGCAGGCGTGAGGAACGACGTAACCAGTTGTCCGAGGAGTTTAAAGTCGCCTTCATCGTCAATCTTGCCACCATACGTCTCCGTGACCAGGTAGCGAATCATGTCCCACGGAATGTTTTGCGGCGCAATGTTGGTTCGATTGCCAGCAACTCCCTCAATCCAGACGTCAACAATAAACGCACAGCATTCGTACTATGATCACGAGTCAGCAAAGTTCTAATTACACATCTGAAGGAGAGAAAAGGGTGATTCTTACGTCGCTATCATTAAACTCCCAGAAACCCTTCCAACCAAGGTTCGGCGCATATCGTAACCTCTCCTGCACAACAGCGTGCAAGAATGAAATCAAGAGATAAAGTCTCGTCCTCTCCACAGGGCTCTTAACCGCGCGCGTCGAAAGCGAAGACATCGAGTCCTTCATGTTGGCTCGCACACCGGCCGGCTGTTCATACATGAGCACGCGCGAGGCACGGAGCAAGTTGACAGGAATCTTGGGACTTGATTCCATGGATAGGAACAAGCGGAAATCGCCATGCGGGTTGAGCGACTCCATGCGCTTCTCCAGGCTCTGCAGCCACGTCGGCGCCAAGTGCACGTTCTTGATGAGGACCCACGATCCTGTCTCTGCCGCACTGCTGACGGCCTTGTCGGCGCTGGCCAGACCTTCGTTCGAACCCATGGCAATATTCGTGCAGCGCACGTTCATTCTCTGCACAAGACTGTCCACCTTGTAACTAGCATCGAAACCAGGGCTAGACACCAAGGCAATGGGGAGAGTAGCAGAAACCTGGCTGACAGTCTTGGTCAAATCATCCACAATATCAAACGTGTCGGATCCAAACACGAGGGTAGCAAAGCGCTCCGCCGCGGGAACAAAGCGATCCATGCGGAAAAGCTTGACCAGCAAGAGGGAGTAAAGAGCTTGATCCGTCTCCGAGGTGCCCTCTTCCCAAATCTGGGGCACCACAGCCTCGGCCACCTCCTCGGTAAAGAACTTGTCCCAGTCGCCACTCGGAATGGCATCGAGCTTCTCCTTGAGCACGCTCAGCTTTCGGGCATCCTGGAAAGCCGCATCCTTGGCATCGAGGTCGGAAGACACATCCACGCCCGCGATTCGGTTGTCAAGAATCACGTCAATCATCGACTTGTCCATCTTGTACGGGGACGCCTGAGCGAGAAGCATGGCCAGAGTGATGCGGTCCTTCTGCAGCAAACCAAGCGCCGTTCTCTTGAATGTATTGACAAAGAGGTCCTTGACGATGATGTCTCGGCGAACATTGTGATTCGTCTCCTTGGCCAAGTTCTTGTTCCCCCGCAGCACCGACTGGAAAATGTCCAGGAAATACTGCAGCGAAAACTGGTAAAAGTGGTTAATGTAGTGCAGCTGTTCCAAAACGGCAAACACTGCACTGCACGACTTGGCAATGATGCTATACTGCTGCGTAATCTCCTCCACTTCGGCCATGACGCCCTCCGTGTTGCGCATCTTGTCGGAGATGTCTGCCGCCTCCGTCTTGAGCGTCTCTAGCGTTTCTATGACCTTGTCGTCGTCCAAAATGTTACCACGAGACTCGTTGAGAGCCTGCAGCAACTGCTTCTCCAGCTGTCGAAGATGGACCTTGAATTCGCCCTGCAGCTTAATGAGGTTGGATCGCCTCTCGTCCACGTCAGGACGCTCCGACTTGAGCACATCGTTAAGTGACTGAGTCTGAAGACTGCTCTGAGTGACGGTAAAGTTGACAAAAGTGGTACGACTGCAAATATCCGGCGCAAAAGTAGCCGACGGATCTCGAGTCGAAAGGTAGAGCTTGAATGATGGCGAAAAGTCAATGTCTTGCTTACCAAGCTGGATGAGGACACGACCACCAGTTCGCTGGTACTCCTTGTTCAAGACGTGGTTGAGAATAGGGTCCAGATGCTCAGCGTCCTGGATGAGAATGGGGTTACCGAAACGCAGCGAACTCTCAAGCTGCTTTGTAAAGGTATCATCCAAGAAGCTCGTGACCGTCAGGCGGCGATCCTTGCACTCCTTCTGCAAGAATTCTGTAACTCTTCCAGACGGGTCAATGATGAGAGGATATCTGTTGAAGCGCTTGAGAATGATGGCGTTCTCCGTGCACAAGTCGTCGACCGGCAGTGTGTTCTCTTGCCATCCAAGCCGCTCATCCGCACTGGACAAGTATTCCGTCACCGGGTTAGGCGACTTGAACTGGATACCGGACAGATCCAGCTGGTGATACCAGTCGTCAATCATGTTCTTTCGGAACGTCTGATCGTACAGACCGCTATAAGCCAAAAACGCCGAAGCGACGAGAACATCGCCAACAAGGGTGCTGATTTGAGTCTCAAACGACTTGCTGCCTTCCTCCCAACGAGCCCTCTCAGACGACAAGCTGTCAAGAAGCCTGACACTTCGGTCGACCTTGAACTGAACCTTTGACATCTCCGCCTTGATGGCCTGGGTTTCGCTAATGAGAGTGGCATACTCCGTCTTGTAAGTGTTGATGCTAGACTCGAGCTCCGCAATGTTCTTCTCGACCGCCATGGCGCTGGCCTTTGTCTCGAGTGCCTGCTCCTCAAGCAGGCCCACCTCCTCCCTGAGAGGTCCGACGCGGTCCAAGATATCAGAATAGCTGACCTGGGCAATGACCCACTGGACAAGGGGACCACAGGCCCTGGAAGCGTGGTTCACCTTTTCAAACGTAAACTCGGGGTTCGACAAGAAGTCGTTGCGCATCCTGTTCCGCAGGCCCTTGGTCATCATCTTGGCATTGTCAAACATGATGATGCTGGCAATAAAATCTTCCCTTCGAACCACACCTTGGACCGCCTTCCAGTCGTTGATCTTGTGTCCGAGCAGGGTGCACACGGCATCCAGTGCAAGCCGGACACTCTGCGGAGGATTAGACATACCACGCACTTCGACCAAGTGCTGTCGCTTAATGTTGCTGACACTGGCCTTGGCCTCCTCGACCGCAGGCTCAGCCTTTGCCAAATCCTCGAGCACAACCTTCTTTCGCATCGCCACCTCCGCCTCTTGCTTCTCCAACGCCGCCTGAATCTCCAAGGAAGTGTTTTTCCTCTGCTCCGCCTCTCGCTGATCTGCAACCATTCGCTGCAGCTTTTCGTTTGCCTCGGCATCCTTCTGCTCGAGCTGTGCCTTCTTCTCCGCAAGACTGACACGCAAATCACGCACCTTGTCTACGGTATCTCTCAACTTCTCGAGACCGACGTTCAAGTGGCGCTGCTGCTCCTCCAGATCTTCGCGCTTCTCATTGTACAGTTTGACATATTGGGTAACAAAGTCCAAGAAGTGACGAGGAGTCAAGAACGTGACCTTGCCTT